GTGACTGGTGGTGTGGGTTGTGTGGGGGTGAAGTCTGTGACCGGTGGTGTGGGTTGTGTGGGGGTGAAGTCTGTGACCGGTGGGGTCAGAGTGCTTGTCAACCCCTTGGACAGTCCTATACCATCACTGTGTTAATTAAGTCTCATACCATCCCTGTGTTAATTAAGTCTCATACCATCCCTGTGTTAATTAAGTCTCATACCATCGCTGTGTTAATTTAGTCTCATACCATCCCTGTGTTAATTAAGTCTCATACCATCCCTGTGTTAATTAACTCTCATATCATCCCTGTGTAAATTAAGTCTCATACCATCCCTGTGTTAATTAAGTCTCATACCATCCCTGTGTTAATTAAGTCTCATACCATCCCTGTGTTAATTAAGTCTCATACCATCCCTGTGTTAATTAAGTCTCATACCATCCCTGTGTTTAACCACGAAAGGTAAGCCAGTGGAAGTAAAACTACTAAAAAAAATCCTATATTTTATCAGTTAATAGACGGCACACTTTACTTTATAGCACATATATATAGTTACCACTTTCAGGATAATTAAGAATATAATTGGTATTCATTGAATATTGAATAAAATTTATTAATAGGAAGATAGAATTAATAGGAAGAGACATACAGGGCAAGGCGATCTAACCTAACCCAATGTAAAGATAAATATAAACGTGGAGAACACGCAATTTGTGTGTGTGTGATTCGATGTGTCAAGGTACGCAGGGACTCATTTTGTCTGCGTGTTTCCATGTCTGTTTATATATATATATATATATATATATATATATATATATATATATATATGTATATATATATATATATATATATATATATATATATATATATATATATATATATATATGTGTGTGTGTGTGTGTGTGTGTGTGTGTGTGTGTGTGTGTTTTGCAGAGATGGCGACACACTCAGCCGACGACACACTTGACGCCATATTTGGTGTCGACATTTGTGTCACCCCTCCCCTTTCCCCTACAATGATGCTCTCACACATTATTAGACATACACTGAGGAAGTTGTAGAGAGTTAATAATATAATTTATATGCGCCTTTTGCGTCGACAGATGTTCAAGATTAAAAACGTTTCTTGATCAGCATTTTATATATATATATATATATATATATATATATATATATATATATATATATATATATATATATATATATATAATGCTGTCAAATGTCAGTGTTAGTCTACTTTGTTGGTACTGTAACGTGTAACGTTTATAACAGTGACATACTCTGCACAGATCATTCACGGAAAGTGTTGCGGAAAGTTTCGCTTACAACCTAACAGTTATGATTTTGTTATCATAATTTTATGAGGAATCTGTAAATATACAACGATGGCGACGCTGAAGTTAGCGATTACGTTTTCGTCAAATAAGAAATACCGCTGATAGGTCAAAGGGAAATAACCCATTAAAACGACCGTCGTCAACCAGATGTTGACCGGAGTCGGTAGAGGTGTGAGTAGGTCTCAAGTCAGATCGTATATATATATATATATATATATATATATATATATATATATATATATATATATATATATATATATATATATATATTATATATTTATATATATATATATATATATATATATATATTATGTATTTATATATATATATATATATATAATATATATATATATATATATATATATATATATATATATTTATGGATGAAATTTTAAGGAAACAACATGGAGTTATAAAATCAGTTAATATTTCATCCAAATTGTGTTTTACCCCAACCCACCCCCATCCCACTTTATTTTACCCTTTCTCTACACACAGGAACCCACGGCCTATCATCTCTTAACATACCAATTACTACATCAAATTATTTGTGTTGTTACAAGAATTCCTTTTTAATATTTCTGTTTTCAAATTAATAGTATGTCGAAGTAAAAAAGAAATATATATTTTAATCATTCCGTACGATTATGTGAACAACAGGCTTATAAAATAAAATAAAACACTGATATTAAAAATAAAATAAACCGGGAGTGATCTCTCCTAAACTTTCTCGAATATTCTTATATAACACTACGGGGGATGGCACCTCGGGACATAGACATGATTATAAGCTTTTTTTTAACTCACTGTCACTGTCTGTCGTCAGTCTGTCGTCATTCTGTCGTCAGTCTGTCGTCAGTCTGTCGTCAGTCTGTCGTCAGTCTGACGTCAGTGTGTCGAAGTATGTCGTCAGTGTGTCGTCAGTCTGTCGGAGTCTGTCGTCAGTGTGTCGTCAGTGTGTCGTCAGTGTGTCGTCAGTCTGTCGTCAGTCTGTCGTCAGTCTGTCTAGACCGAAACGCCCGAGCGAAATTGCAGGCACTTCTGACTGACAGATACGGTTCGCAGTTGGTACGAGGGTCAAGACATGAAGACAATGCAACATTTCAATTTGACTTCATTGGTTGACTGATTATTTTTTTATGAATTAATTAAAAATGTGTCCAAATTAGTAGGCTCTCTCATCAAAATATTCCGCGCTATTAGACACGCGTCATCGCGTTCAATAGGTGCGCAATGTAACTATTGTAAATAAAACATGTAAAGTACTATAATACCGTTTGTGTGAGACATTCAAATTATGAAAGGTTGACGCCATTGAATGCAACCACCCAGAGGCGTATAGTATGTGTATTTGTATTTGTATTTGTATTTGTATTTGTATTTGTATTTGTATTTGTATTTGTATTTGTATTTGTGTTTGTGTTTGTGTTTGTGTTTGTGTTTGTGTTGCGTGTTGCGTGTTGCGTGTTGCGTGTTGCGTGTTGCGTGTTGCGTGTTGCGTGTTGCGTGTTGCGTGTTGCGTGTTGCGTGTTGCGTGTTGCGTGTTGCGTGTTGCGTGTTGCGTGTTGCGTGTTGCGTGTTGCGTGTTGCGTGTTGCGTGTTGCGTGTTGCGTGTTGCGTGTTGCGTGTTGCGTGTTGCGGTTTGCGGTTTGCGGTTTGCGGTTTGCGGTTTGCGGTTTGCGGATGTGTTTGAGTTTGTAATATGTTTGTGTTTAAGTTTATTTATGTTTTTTGTGTTTGCTTTTGTTCTGTTCCCAAATCGGTACATTTAAAAAAGATTCATCGTGGCGGAGCACGGGTATGCAGCTAGTATTAAAGGGTTGGTGTTGGTAGTGGAGGTAGCCCGATGGAAGGTTACATAAAATATTACTAAAATTGCTTCTAAAATATGGGCATAATTACTTTGAACATGGTCCTACACAATATCAAATTGAATATTCGCATAATTACTTAAGGATGCCTATGCAATGTATCAAAATCAATATTCGAGAGCCCGCATTTTGTAATAACTTTCCCTCGTGAAATAAGAGGTGGTAGGCCTAGAATTCTACTGTATTACCCCCACTCTCCTTCATACAATGAGATGGTATGAAAAGAGCTCTGTGTTATGCCCGTATTATCGGCAATTGGGTCATCTGTTGCGTCATTGAGTGACTTGGGAAAATAATTTATTGAGGAGAAAATAAAAATCTATGATATTCAGCCGACGCGATAGATTTTAAACATTGAAAAATACCATTTGAACGGGTTGTCCTGCGGCTTATAATGTTGGGCCTTCAAAATATGCAATGCTTATAGAGAGAGAAATAAGGTAAAGAAACAACTCTGGTGCATTAGGCGCCTGGAAAAATACCAGATTCCCAGAAATATAAAATTAAAGGGCTGAAACTGATTATTTTGACAGTTCCAATTTTACCTATTAAAGAACTTGAGTGCATCAAGCATATAAACTTTTATTCCCCCCCCCCCCCTTCTTTGATTACACACAAAAATAAACAAACAAAACTTTAGGATACAAGAAAAATTCCTTTAAAATGTATACTAAATTTAATAGCTGTGAAAATTGGTTAATAGTGATTGATAATCAATTTTTGATCCATGGCTGATGTAAATAAAGCAAATACGCCACAGATAAACAATGCCGTTGATTATTGCGTTAGGTGCGCATTTTCCAAGACACATGAGTATTTACTTTTGAAAAGAGCATTGCAAAGTTATTTTTAACACAGCTATTGTACGCTTCTAACCCTCTACGGTCCGCATCCTGTCAACCTGTGGGGTCTCCATCCCGTCACCCTGTGGCGTCCCCATCCCTGTGGTGTTCCCATGCTGTCACGATGTGGGGTCCCCATCCTGTCACCCTGTGTAGTCCGCACCTTACCACCCTTTGCGGTCCGTACTCTCCACCTTAACTCCATGTTGACAATTGATGTCTTTGTTGACAGTCGTTTCGGTTAAGTAGTTTTCATGAAACACATAATTAATTTTAAGATCAATATCATTTGTACATTTGTGTAATAAGGACCCGCATAGAAATGCTCTTATCATTTTATAAACGCGTTGGTATTCTACTCAGGACTGAATTATTTGGACATACAACTGTTGCAGAAAATACACCTTCATACCACGCAATACACCTTCATTGTTAAGCGTCTAGGTAGGTTTTGTGAGGCTTTCTACCTAAATGCCTTAGGTTTAGTTTTAGATTTACGCTTAGTAGATCTTATTTGGTTTAAAGCTAGGAGTAAATTATTGTTTTCACTTGCTGCAGGATAATTAAATATGTTGTAAATTGTAAATAGTAATTTACTTTTTTTTTAATTGAATCGGAAATTTAAATTTCAATATTGTGAAAATGTTATAAATGTGTTATGTGTTTTATGAATAGTTAAAATTGGTTTCCTTGCGAGTTATTTGATGTGGTGTTACAGATGCCACAGATCATATACATTTTATTTCGAAGTTGGAAGTCTAAATTTGTCGTCACTTATCGGTTTCTTCGAGAAACTGTACAACACTTAAGGATAATGAAAGGCTGGTCTCGAAATGTTAGTGAAAACGTTATACACCTTCTTAGAATTTTTATGTTCTCTTCAAGAGTAACATTTTTTTTTTGCTTTGTTTATTTTCAGAATCGCTTTTGTCTACACTCAATCCTCTCTGTACCAGGGCAAGCATCTATAATGAAGCAAGCCATGGAGATGTTGTTATGTAAGCTAGCTAAAGTCAACTGGACCCAAGTGAGTGTGATTGTTGGAACAATTCTGATAGCGTTTCCCATCTCGTTTTCGTGGTTTTACGGTAACTTGTCATCGTACATAGATTCCTACTACATCAATAAACTCGGAGAAGACGGGCACAGCGTCGGTTCGATGTGGATGATGGCTATATTTAGTTTTGGGATGAACATGGCCGTCGTGTTCTCGGGCATGTTGTCTAAGAAAATCGGGCCATGGCTTACAGCAGCGGTTGCCATGGTAGCGTACAACTTTGCTTTATTCATGTCATTTTTCACCATCCAGCACAGTTTCTGGCTGCTGCACGTGACGCTGGGTGCTCTTGGTGGAATAAGTACTGGAGCCTGCTACTCTATGGTACTCTACTTCCCAGTGTTGTGGGCGCCTGAGAAAGTGGCACTTGTCAGTTCTATAGTTCTTGCCGCTCCTATTGGCGGCAGCATAATTATCAACCAAGTGATAACTTTATACATCAATCCTGAGAACGATGAGCCAAACTTGAGTCTGGGACAGAGTCATTACTTTAATCAGGATGACATCATTGAGAGGGTGCCTTATGTTTTTTTAGTCATAGGCGGCTTGTCTTCATCTTTCCACGTCATATCGTTGTTGTTGCTGCGAAACCCAGTCTCTCCCAACACAACAACAACCAAACTAAAGGAAGCAAATCTGGACGAGAAGACGACATGTGAAGTAAATTTGAACAATTACTCGTCGATATCACAGGACCAAAGCAAGCCAGACCAGCAGGGTAGTGATCTGCTTCAGGTAAAACAAGAAACTCACATATTTCCATGGAAGACTTTGAAGTCTGTCAATTTTTACTTGATCACATTTTCCGCCACTTTGATGATAGGTGCCTTTATTGCAGAAAGCAACTATTATAAACAGTTTGGGCTATTGTACATAACTGACGACCATTTTTTGACAAATTTAGGTGTCGCTGTCAGCGTTGTTTCAACAGTGTGTCGCATCTGTGTTTTTAGTTACGTGCTCGAGAAATTTAGCTACAACACCGTGTCCATTTTTGTCACTGCCTCTCAAGCTATTGTAGTGGTGTTCTGGTATTTTACTCCCAGAATCGACAAGTGGTTGTACCTTTTTACCTACATTTTCATTCAAGCAATTCAGAGTGGTTCCATGATTTTATTTCCATTAATAACACTTCGAGTTTTTGGTCCTGAAGATTATGTGGTCAACTACGGGCTAGTCCTGCTCATGGGCAGCGTCATTCTGTTACTGACGCCATTCTTGATGCAGCTGATTCTCCTTAACTTCGGCTGGTTCTGGGTCTTCTTTTCTATTTCTTTGACAAGCGTGGCAGCACTGGTCATGTTTATGTATCTGCCACAAGATACAGCACACAGGAAGTAGCAATAAAACGTCTTTGCTTATGCGACTTATTGTTTCTTTAATACAAATTTTAAAGTTTTAAAACAAGGCAGATCTGGCTACTGAACAAACAAAAAGTAACCAACTTTCGGCATGGCCGTTGCAACAAATCTAAAATAGATAATTAGATATAAGATATTTTAACATTTTAAAATAAACATGCACGTTCACTTTTTAGCGCAATTTCCATTCTGGAGAATTGCGTTTATTAACCCGTCATTTCTGGATGTATAAATGTATGAATGGATGTGTGTCCGCAGCTTTAAGTCGTATCTCCTCCTCAACGACGCAATATCGAGGACTAGTTCCAAAGCAATTATGTTAAGCAAGTTACGAGGATGAACATAGGCTAAAAAAATTCCGGGTTTCTTTCATGGATTTCCCGGAAAAGCCGAAAAACCTCGAAAAAATGCAGTTTTTTGCCCATATCTCGGCAACCAGACCACTTAGCGTCTTGAAACATGTACCAATCGATTTCTGCCATAATTTAGAACAATATTGCCGAAGAAAGTTTTCATAAATATCCTTTCGTTCGGTCACAAAAAATTTTTTGAATTAATTAAAATTTGGACCGAATTAGTAGGCATTTTTATCCAACCACACCACACGCGTCATCACGTTCAATAACTGCGCCATCACGTTCAATGGCTGCGTCATCACGTTCAGTAGCTAGGCGCGCAATGGTTTTTAGTCATGTAACTCTATTGTAAATAAAACATGTATTTTAACCAATGGTTTTACTAACCCTGCTCTTGATTTACGCTACGACAGAGCTATTTTTAGATAACATAAGGAAATTGCGCTAAAATTGTCACTAGACTTTTTAATTACCTTGTTTGAACTAAAATGAAGAATATAAAACGACTTTCTCTTGATATATTCTAATGTTAAATAACTATAACTCTATTTCACCAATAAACTTTTACAAGTTCTCTTGTTGACAATACATGTACTGTCCCCGTCCCCCCGGAAATTTTAGTCTGCCCCCCCCCCCCCATCCCAAAAAAAATTCAAGTCCCCCCCCCCCCCCCCACCCCCGGAGAAAAAAAGTCTGGAAGAAACATTGATGGAGTGTGGTGTAATACCGTACATGGAAGATCTTGTATCTCGAAAGTTCAATTTTCCTAGTAACAGAGCTGTCGGATGCACAGATATATTTTTAATAAACTTCAATACCGTTTGTGTGAGACATATAAATTATGAAAAGTTTACGCCATTGAATGCAACCATCCCGCACCCCCACCCAAGTACCTGGCTTTACCCTTGTTGGAACTATTAAAGTGCTTACTTCAAAAAAAAAAATCTGTAAAATAACTTTAAAAAAAAAGATTTCCGACTACAAAGTTTGGTCTTTACACCAAAATTTTAAAAAAGATTCTCTATAACTTCCTAAGTAGTGTAGTAAACATTGTGGTCTGTATTTAATTAGTTTAGCACTGCTTATCCTAATTTAATTAATAATGCAGGATCAGTGGCGTAGCGAGGTCGGATGTCATCCGGTGTGGCACTTAATGGTGTCACCCCCAGAGGCGTAGCGACCCTTCCCGGGGACAAAGTTTCGATTTGCACCCTCCCCCAATCAAACTTTCGATTTGCACCCCACCCCCCCCCCCCCACCCCCAGCCTCAAACTTTCGATTTTAACCTCTTAAAAGACTATTTAACACTCGAATTAATCAATTAAGTAAGTGGAATTATCATTTTTTTCTATATATTTTGCTATTTTTTGCCTTGGTGTCACCCCCCCCCCCCCCTAAATGGTGTCACCTCGCAACGCCCCTGTGAAGAATCACAATAGACATTTGAACTTAATGACAGATTACACCAAAACTTTAAAACTTTTCTCTACACCTTCCTTCTTCTTCTTCTTCGTTCTTAATTTTTAGTGTTGGGAGGGATCGAGACTTATCTGCCAGAGGGTTTGAACTCGAGACTTTTTTCGAATCAACCATGAGCTTTTGCCGACTCGACCATGCTTCCATCACAATTAAGGATTACGTGTCAACTGGTTATGCGCCATTGAGGCCATTGACTCCGATTTCAGCCTGCTTTTCTTTTTGGATTTGCTTCCATAGCCTTTGTCCAACCAAGAACAAACTACAAGGCAGCAGTTGTTTGATTTTGGAGTTGTCTCTCCTAGAAGAGTGGCTGTCCCCAGCTAACGAGCCTCATCTGCCCGAGGGTTCGAACTTGAGACTTTTCGGTTTAGCAACCATGAACTTTACCGAATCGACCACGCCGACCCCCTACACCTTCCTAAATAGTGTAGTAAACACTGTATGGCATGTAGTTAGTTAAGGTTTTAGCTTACCCTAATACAATTAATAATGTAGGATCACAATAGACATTTGAACTTAATTTTTTCTGTTTGATCAACAAATCCTAATCTGACAAAGTAGAATTGCCTACGCTAATGGTAAGAGGAAGTATTGTAATCGTGCACAAAAATCACATGAAATTTTGAGTTTTCATCTTACACCTCAGTACTTCATTATATACGGAGTATGGGGAACTTATTTAAATCGGGCAAAAATTATAAATGACAGATGAATAAAAATTTTGGCGTTCTACGAGAAAACTGGGCTTTGCAATTCTGTCCGTATATCTGTATGTGTGTATGTCTGTAAACACGATAACTAGACAACCGTTACAGCTAGGTTGATGAAAATTTTGATACATGTATTATTTCAAATTTATAGTTCTGTATCAACTTTTCAGTGATTTCCGGTAACCGGAAGTGGAGCTCATTCTACTTTCAATTTGTTTCAAAAGCCTATAACTTGAAAAATGTTTAAGATATATGAATGAAATTTCACATAGAAGTAAAAGGTCTAATTCTCTATCTACCTTCTCTCAAATTTGGAGTAATTTCCGTTGACCGGAAGTAGTAGTTTACGTTATTTCCTAATTCTTAAAAAACGCATATTATTATGAATGAATAAAATACTAATAATAGTCCGCACTATTATACACATATTGTTTGACATTCAATTGGTGCGCAATTCTTTTTTTTTCTACGAGATTCTATTATATTTTAAAAAGTTTAAGTAATTAAAAATGTATTTAAAATCATGTCTATATCCCGAGTTGCCATCCCCCGAAGTGTGATGTAAGAATATTCGAGAAAGTTTAGGGGAGATCGCCCCCGCTTTTTTATTTTTTAAGCAAAATCAACAAAAACACATGTGTTGGAAAATATTTTTTCTATAGCTCCCAAAACCTCTTTACTCAAAACCTGTTTATTCAGCAACATTTGTTTCTTTTGTAGGGAGAGCTCACTTTAAATGAATACAGTTTAACATAAAGCGATGACAGCTGTTCTTAACACTGGCTTCTGCTTTTGTTTTCCTGAGGTATTTCTTGGTCGAGGATCTCATTATTTTCTCGCATAGCCCTAAGAACTATATCGGAAGTATTGTAAATAAACCGGGAGTGATCTCCCCTAAACTTTCTCGAATATTTTTATATAAAATAATAGGGGATGGGAACTCGGGCTATAGACATGATTTTTAATCCATTTTAAATACTTAAAGTTTTAAAAAAAAATTCATAAAAAACGTTTTAATAACAAGCTTTTATGTAATGATGCACTAAAAAGTAGAAAATAAATTATAGACTACTATTTAAATAACTATAAAGAAAAGCGTGGGTCACTTTAGTATCTATTGGATACCTTTACTAATGTTAAGGAAGACACCCACGCTTTTCTTTATAGTTATTTAAATAGTAGTCTATAATTTATTTTCTACTTTTTAGTGCATCATTACATAAAAGCTTGTTATTAAAACGTTTTTTATGAATTTTTTTTTCAGTACTTTACATGTTTTATCTACAATAGAGTTACATGACTAAAAACCATTGCGCGCCTACTGAATATCACGTTCAGTAGGCGCGCAATGGTTTTTGAACGCAGCCATTACGTGGTCGTGATGGCGCAGCTATTGATGACGCGTGTGGTGTGGTTGGCTAGACATGCCTACTAATTCGGTCCAAATTTTAATTAATTCATAAAAAATCAATTAGGCATCCAATTAAGTCAAATTTAGTTTCAGATTGCATTGTCTTCATGTCTTGACCCACGTGCCAACTGTGAATCGTGTCGGTCAAGTAGAACTGTCCGAATTTTCACTCCTGCGTTTCCGTCTAGACTGACGACAGACTGTCGACTGACGACTTACGACAGAGGAAGTGAGTTAAATAAAAGCTTGTAAAAATAGAATAAAATCTTGTAGACAAAAGAATTGCACACCGAGTGAACGCTAAATAAAAAAGTGCATAATAGTGCGCAATATTATTAGTACTTTAAAAATAATTTACATTCGTTTTTTGAGAAATCGGAAGTAGCGTAAATTACTACTTCCGGTCAACGGAAATTACTCAAAATTTAACAGAAGGTAGAGAATTAGATCTTTTACTTACATGTGAAATTTCATTTATCTATCTGAAATAGTACTCAAGTTATAGGCTTTTGAAAAATTCAAAGTAGGAAAAGTACCACTTCCGGTTATCGGAAATCGCTCAAAAGTTGATACGGATCTACGATTTTGATAAAATACTTATATATGAAATTTCATCAACCTAGCTGTAACGGTACTCAAGTTATCGTGTTTACACACGGACACACACACGGACAGAATTGGATAATCCAGTTTTTCCAACTCCATTACGCATAAAACGCCAAAATTTTTATATATCTAAGTTTATAATTTTTGCCCGATTAAAATAAGTCTTCTATATCCCGGATGTGATGAAGGACTGAGGAGTAAAACGGTGAAAACTGTCCAAATTTAATGTGATTTTTGTGCACGATTACAAGACTTTCTCTATACTTCGTATATACGAGAAAGTAAAAATGGAAATCACGATTTTAACAAATCACGACGTTTTACTCCTTCCAGGGTTTGAAAATAAAATCAGTTTTGCAATCTAGAACACGTCAACAAAAGTACTGTTTAGTTAGATGAGCGAAATTTCATAATTAGGAATTTAATACTAAATGTAGGTTCTTATTTAAAACTTGAGAACTGTTATAAGATTGTATACTAAAGCCTTTATTAATTATTTGAACGATTTATTTCCTTTTACATTTTAGTTAGGGGAATGAAAATTACATTTTTATTTACTAGATTCTAGACCCTATTCATAGGTTTCTTTCAAATTTTGAGCAAACTCGGATAAATGTAACGGTACTTTTCCAATCTCTCAAAACCCTTCAAAATATTATAATTTTATCTTGAATTTTCACGTATTTAAAGAACTCTTCGCCTCTTATTATTTTCTCAAAATAAAATAGGAGCACTTTTGTCGCAAACTTATCTACCATTTGGATAGCCCGATTCCACTTGAAATGCCATCCCAACCCTTTTCATAAAAGACGAATATACAATGAAGTTTAGGGGAGTCTGCTGCCACTTTTTGTCTACATTCTCGTACACAGAGTTGAATCATCTTAGCTGTTTGCAAAAAAAGAGAGAGATTGTAGGTCTAGCTGTTTGATACACTAAGAAATTTCACTGTAGGCTACCTGCCTATAGCATTTCAAAAAGTTTGTACACACTGTTTAAGGGGAGAGAATTCTTTTTAAAAACTTGCCTTTACGTGATAAAGTAAAATCTACACTCTTCGTCCTAAAAGACGAAATATTAATTGCTATTTACAACTTTAAATGGCATTCGGTGGATAAATTGTTTGTGATAATGGTAAAAAGCGTCGACCTCTGAACTACATCTTTGCTAATTACATTATTTAATAGTGCCTGGCCTCGAAGTTTCGTAATTTTTAAACATCCAAAAGGAAAAAAAAAAAGAAAACCATTTTGGCTATTGTCGCCTAACACTCTTCATAGGCTAGCGCCCACATAACTTTATATAATTGTATCGATTTTAATTATCCATTGCACGTTACATATAGAATGCCTTACACTCATAAATATTCATTTCTTTATCAATAAATCTACCAATGAAGCTCCCCATTAACATCAAAGAGTACTAAGTAAAATGTGAAGCATTCTCTTATAAACGGTTATTATTTTATAGACGTTGTTTCTGTTCAATTTGATAACCAGTATTTTTTGTTATACGGTTCGAAATAGTTTTAGCTATAATGAATTATAGATATGATTATCATAATTCAAAGGCGTAACGGGGGGTGGGGGGTCGGTGGGGCGACAGCCCGGGCACCGAACAAGAGTTGCCAAAAGGGTTAAAATAACGTTACAAGCCTGATTTGAGCTTCATTACTTCAGTCTTGGCGTTACAAACATGTTTAACTTTTTTGAATAGTCATTGTATTACAGCTAAATATATAGGCCTACAACAAAAGCTAGTAAATTGTAAAAAGCGGTGACAACATTTCTAAAATAGTACAAATATAAAATGTATTGACACAAAATATGTTTTATCAGTCCGATTTTACAATGTTAAGAGATTACACAATTAGTACCTCGTTGTGTTTCTATCATATTTATAAGTTATAGATAAAATAGTTTAGCTTAGTCTAATTATTTACAAGAAATATTTTGAAGCCAAAGTCTTTGCATGCTAAATACTAACGCGAGTTTAAACAATAGGAAAGTCAAGGCAACAATAATTTATATGCTCGGCCCAATGCGATGTTGCACTTACCTGGAGCAATTCCTATCAAAGCCTAAACCTTAACACTGACAATAACCCGTCAGCCTATACTAATACTTACCCTAACTAGTAACCTAAACATAACTCTTAACCCTAACAATACCTTATAGTTGGGGTTTAAGATCTATTTAAACTTTTCAAGTTTTTATTATTTAGATATTGCTACACATTACATTGTATGCCTGCAATTATTGCTATGTCGGATATATTTCTAAATCTGCATCTATATCTGTATGTATTATATATATATATATATATATATATATATATATATATATATATATATATATATATATATATATATATATATATATATATATATATATATATATATATATATATGTAATATGGATGCTGAAGTCAAATTTCTTGTTGGTTGCCGGAATGGTTAGCTACGCCTCTGCGCCAGAATAAACGCAGCGTTTGCTATTAAAAAAACATGGTTTTGAGCAGCTGGGAATATACATTTGTCATACAAATTTTCAGGTGGTCAGGCTAGCCTTTTGTGCCGCTAATTGATACACATTAAAAGCAAGTTTCTACAGCTTAAAATTTAGCACAGTCAAGACTACGTGTAAAATGAAAACTTTGCTTTGCGTAATCGCCTGAAAAATCTGCATTGGATATATACCTACCTATGTGTTCAAACTGTCGGCTTTGAAAAGCCCCTGGACGTTTTGGCTGTCATCGATCTTGCATCAGTCCGCCAGAATAAGCTTCACTATTGAAAGAAAGTATGTGGACATATAAGCTCGCAGAAGTCAACTGGACACAACTTGGCGTGATTGTGGGGACGTGTCTCATGGCGTTTCCTATCTCAGTCCCGTGGTTTTACGGGAACCTGTCAGCGTACATAGACTCGTATTACATCAGCAAACTTGGTCCAGACGGACACAGCGTCGGTTCGCTATGGATGCTGGCTATAATCGGCTTCGGTACAAACCTGTCTTTTGTGTTCTCTGGGATGTTGTCTAAGAAAATCGGGCCATGGCTAACATCAGCGGTTACCATGGGTGTGTTCAACTTTGCTTTATTCATGTCATTTTTCACCATCCAGCACAGTTTCTGGCTGCTGCACGTGACGCTGGGAGCCCTGTGTGGGCTGTGCACTGGTGCAGGCTACTCTATGATGCTTTATTTCCCAGTGTTGTGGGCGTCTGAGAAAGTTGCCTTCGTCAGTTCTTTAGTCCTGGCCTCCTCCGGTGTCGGAAGCATAATTATTAACCAAGTCATAACTTTATACATAAATCCTGAGAACGATGAGCCGAACTTGAGTCTGGGACAGAGCCATTACTTTAATCAGGATGACATCATTGAGAGGGTGCCTTATGTTTTTTTAGTCATCGGGGGCTTGTCTTCTGCTTTCCACGTCATATCATTGTTGTTGCTACGAAACCCAGTCTCTCCCAACACAACAACAACCAAACTAAAGGAAGCAAATCTGGACGAGAAGACGACATGTGAAGTAAATTTGAACAACTACTCGTCGATATCACAGGACCAAAGCAAGCCAGACCAGCAGGGTAGTGATATGCTTCAGGTAAAACAAGAACCTCACATATTTCCATGGAAGACTCTGAAATCTGTTAATTTTTACTTGATCACATTTGCTACAACTTTGATGATGAGCGCATTTCTTGCAGAAAGCAACTACTATAAACAATTTGGACTTTTATACATAACAGACGACCACTTTCTAACAAACTTAAGTGTCGCTGTAAGCGTTGTTGTAACAGTGTGTCGCATCTGTGTATTTAGTTACGTACTCGAGAAGTTTAGCTACAACACCGTGTCCATATTTGTCACTGCCTCTCAAGCTATTGTAGTGGTGTTCTGGTATTTTACACCCACAATCGACAAGTGGTTATACTTTTTTACCTACATTTTAATTCAAGCAATTCAGAGTGGATCAATGATTTTATTTCCATTAATTACTCTTCGAGTTTTTGGTCCTGAAGATTATGTGGTCAACTACGGGCTAGTCCTGCTCATGGGCAGCGTCATTCTGTTACTGACGCCATTCTTGATGCAGCTGATTCTCCTCAAGTTCGGCTGGTTCTGGGTCTTCTTTTCTATTTCTTTGACAAGCGTGGCAGCACTGGTCATGTGTGCGTTGTTGCCACGGGATACGGCACATGCTAAATAATCTTAAGCTTCTGTCATACATGTGCTGCTATACGGATTCTGTCTTTGCTTGTTCACTTTATTTTTTAAAATGATACTTATGCAGTTTAAACGACGATTTTAGCTTGTTTCAAATGGTTACCTTTCTTTCGTAAATGTTCACTGTTTATATTTACTCTGCCAAATGTTTATGAAACCCAGCAATTTAAAATTAATATACGCTTTTGTTTTTGTTTACTAAATAATGCACATAATAACTTAATAAGCAAATAAAAACCTTCAGAAGAAACATGTTGCATTGTTTTATTGTTCCTAGTTAATTTTTGTTATTCAACTTGTCTTGTATAGATGAAAATTGTGATATCAAGTCAAAAGCTTGATACACTTGGCCACTCTCTAAATAGATAAAAAGTATTTGACTCTCGTGAAGATGAGAATGACATGTTAATTTTTTGTTATGTCGTTTTGTCTAGTCAGCCAGTCAGTTTGTGTGTAGTAGATCGGGGTTGAATGATTAATGGACACCATCGTCAGTAGAGTGCGCTGTATTTCCAACTGCTGACCAAATTCATAATCAGTTTCTCTTCACGTCTAAGTATGTATCTCGTATTACGTAAATAGTAATACAAGCAAGCGACGAATAAACCAGGTTTTATGATGATTTTGATGAAACAAACAAGCTATTTAAAACACAACATCGCATATTACTGGCAAAGTTATTTGGTTGTAAAGAGAAAAAAACACATTTACAATGACGACATGGGTACGAGCACACAACAGACGAGATGCACTCCTGTCGGCCACGACGCCATTTATCATTTATTAAAAGTTAGTATTTTACATGACGATGCGGCTTTAAAAGTCGCCGGCACGGGCTCTTGCGTACAACAAAGCTCTGGATCTAGTCCACACTCATTAACACACACACACACACACACAAACACACACACATTTCAGTTAATCCAGAGTTCATTAGCTTACTGGACACTAAAACGTTAACATACTGAGGTTGGAGAATGCTATGTGTAACCACGGTCGGTCTTTAGCAGAAACTTCGCATGTAACCTAGCTCTCGAGACTATATAAGCGGTGTACCATGCAGTGTTTCTTCCAGACGTTTTTCTCGGGGGGGGGGGGGGGGCACCTAAAATTTTCGGGGAGGAGGGGCGTACTAAAATTTCCGGGGGGCGGACACTGTTAAAAGTATATATTTTCTATATAAATTCCGTTTTGTTCGCCCCCCCCCCCCCCCTGAAGAGATGCCTGGAAGAAACTCTGGTACCATACAACTTATTGCTGGGGAATAAAAGCAAGTTTTGTTCCCGAGATCACGTGATCTACCGAGGAAACAGCAGGCGCAAGTGATGGCTAAAGTCAGTTCCCCTGGTGAAGAGAGACAGGGAGGATTTTTCACCAGCGCTTTTCAATAATTCTAAAACGCTTTGGGTTACGGTGTGGTCTGGCGGTAGAGGGCTAGACAGCTCACCCGAAAGTCTCGAGTTCAAATCCGGGTCCAAATAAGTAGAATGTCCTTGAGTCCACCCAGCTCTGATGGGTATCTAACTCATGTTAGGAGTAAGAGGGTCGGAATGAACAATTTTAAGTATTTAGTAAAAACAATTTACCTCAAAAACTAAAGTACAAATGCAAAGAAACTTTGCACATATCAGGAATTTAGTATCCTTAACAAAATTATAAAGAGAAATTTTGATATTAAAAAAAAATTTTTTTAGTGAATTATAGAAAGTTTACTCATTATTTAGCATTTCATTTCAGTTGAACGTCTAACATATGATTTTGATAACTTTTTAAATAAATAACAATAAATTAAAATCCCTTTACAAGACCGTAGCAAAATACGTAATGAACACAAAGGGGGTCGTCCATAAATGACGTCACACTCGTATGGGGGAGGGGGGTCCGTAATTTTGTGACGGTGTGTGATGAGGGGGAGGGGAGGGTGGGGTTCAGATGGTGCGACGTCACACTTTTGCATTATAAAAAAGCAATGTTAGAAAACAAATTTTAGACGTTATTTCGCGCTTTAGAAATCTGTTTTAAAAATTGTAATAGGAATTGATTAAAATACTCTATTTTGACAGAGTACAGACAAGATTTTGGAAAAATATCGATGTTTAAAAAAAAAATCAATTGCAATTTTGAGGGAGGTTGTAGGCTGAGGTGTGACGTCATTTTAGGGGGTCTGGCTTTTTGTGACGATGTGTGACAGAGGGGAGGGGGTGAGGTAAAAAAAATCGTCAAAAAAAAGAGTGACGTCATTTATGAATGACCCCCATTGCACAAATAGCGAGCATAAGTGATAAGAAAAGATTGAATGAGCCTGGTACCAATGTTGCCACTACCCTAAATTTGTGGTGACGAGTAGGTCAACACATAAAAGAATAGAATAGTATATATATATATATATATATATATATATATATATATATATATATATATATATATATATATAGTGCCTTTATCGCTCGCACTACCCCGAAAAAATAGTCTTGCTCAAGTAATAATAATATTAACGAGCCGGCCCGCGGCATAACATACGCCGCTATTTAGTTGTTGTTTTTTCTACTTTTCAGTAATTCATAATTTGTGAATTCGACAGTACCAATGCTGACACTGAAAATATTTCTTTAAAACACTATAAGTAGCTCGTTAAAATAAGGACCAACCCCCCCCCCCCCTTTCCTTCCCCCCCCCCCCCCCCCCCTACGTTTAAAATCGTTGGCTCTGCTTGTAAACATTTAGAGTGAACACGGCTCACTAAGACCATGTAGGGGTGGGGAGTAGGGAGCGCGTTTACAGCTTGTTTTCTAGCGGCTCCCAGAAGAGAATTATATATATAGAAGATACTGTGTGGACGTATGGAGACGGAAGATGGGCAGTCAATGCATATAATTAACATAGTATAGGCTAGTCTACGTAATAGGCTATTTAAATTTTTAAGCAAAAAAAAAAATTTCATTGGTTCGTTAACGTAATTTTTTTTTAAAAAACTCGTAATTATTAATATAATAATTATTTTTAATTGTGTTTGAAAAGTAAATTTATTTAGCGTCAAACCAAAGATATTTTTGGTAAAAATAGACACATTTCTTAGAAATGTAGGCCAACGAGGATTAGCTTATTTTTAAAATGAGTTCTCTTAATTTATTTTGATTTACTTTTTTTGGGAGATATTTCCCCCAACCGTGATGCCTAGGCAAGGCTAATGCGCAGCTTTTTGTTGACTTCACAAACGCTGGCTTCATTGATCTTTGTCCTGTGAGATGGTTGGTGTGAAGGCTAAAGTTGATAGGTGTCAAGGCCACACATTCCATTCTTCTCGCTTTCGCACTAAAAAAGAAAGCCGAGGATCAAGATATCTGTAACGTAAATTAGACAGATATCTAGAACTACCTGTGTAAAACAAAAGATGAACAAAAACTAAGGAGGTTAAATTTCTAATACTTTTTTTTTAACTTATTAATTTATTGTACGGAACTATTAATAGCTGTATGTAAATGAAAAGTAGTAACAAAAAATCCGCATAAACAAGTTTGTTCTGTCGACGTCATTTAAAAATTCGGAGACAAAATCATGAAACGCAATGATGTTTCTAAATTAATTACATTGAATTTCTTTTAGCTTTAAATATTGTTTATTCAGATTTATATATCGCCCGCAATTTTTTTTTTAATTGCGAACATCATTACATAAAAGCACAATGGTTTTCCAGTCATTCAAATTTCACAAGTTTTATATTGGGAGAAAAATGTCTTTGTTGTCTCATCTGCATGGAATCGTCATGTAGGCCTTATGTAGCATTACAACATTTGCATATTTTTAAGTTTACACCATTTATTTAAAACAACATTAAAGGTAATTATAAATAATTGGTACTGTACACGTGTTTATAGTTTTATTTTCAATTTAAAAAAAAAAAACATTTATAAATGCATTTTCCTTTCTTCAAAGAAAACTTAAAGGGTTTATGCTCTGGGATCCCCATACTTCCGGTGCTTCAAGCGGGAATCCCTTCCGTCCTAGGTCCTTAGAGGGGTATCCCCAACCGGAAACAACCGATGTAGGCCGATTGCAATCACACACATATTTGTCTTTTTCGGGTACTTTACATTCATAAATAAAATTTCACTATATTTGTTCATCTTAAAACATTTTTTGAAACAACAAATGCAAAGGAAATTTCACCTGTGTGCGTGACATCTCGATTAAAACTCGTGGTGACAATCAGTGTGACGTCATACGTGTGAGCATCAACAAAAGTTGAGATAGTATTCGACAAGGACACCCTGGTCTCTTTATCGCGTTGATGCACAATATTTACTGCTGCAGTTATTTTATATGGCAATGGAGCATGTTAACTAATGAATGTTTGTCATTTTTATGCGACCAGTAGGGGCATTAGCCCCTTAAAGTGCCTTAAAGAGTCGATAAACCTGTAATGTCTTGTGGCAGTGGAGGACCGCCATCTTGGACAGCAGCAGGTTCTCATAGCAGTAACCATTCACAAGTGCGCCACTCAAGTAGGGAAGGTAAAACTTAAGAATAAGTACTTAATTATTAACTAATTATATTTTTGGTAAATGCAACACGAATTAAATTTCTTCAATGTTCTGTGAATACGCACAAAGTCATCTCTAAATTGAAGTTGACATTTTGGCATACCCACCGATTAACAAGCCATTCATTTGATTTTTTTACTTCACTGAGACTTCAGAATGTTACTTCTTGGACAATCTGTCTAGTCTAGACTCTAGATCTAGCTAGACTAAGAATTAGTAATGAGTTTTAATCTTGTTTATTTTAATTACCATCAACCCCATTAACTAAACCTGTAGGAATAAATTTTATCAATCCAGGCTAGACAGTACTTGTAAATGTAATCTAGATCTAGGTATAAGAGTATAAAAGTTGATCTCTAATCTCTCAGCTATCCTATTCTAATCAATGATTAAATCATTGATTCTTTCCTTCTCATTGCTGAGGCTCATAACTGTGCACTGAAGTTGCACTGCCTAGGATTACTTTATAGTCTAGTATGCCATTTTGACCCAGTTCGAATATTAAAAATATTAAACTGTAGGCCTACATCTTTTCAGTTAGAAAGTTGGATGATGGAAGATACTGATGTCCTATAATAGACTTCCAAAAATAGTGTTATGACTCTTCCAAAACTAGGTGTGTTAGGCTGTTAGTAGTATCATAATCTCGACTAGTTTGATGGTTAGAAATTAGGGTTGGGGCTAAGGATAGGGTTACTACTGGTTAGCATTGACATTAGCAAGCCATGTGTATAGTTAAGTTAACTTCCAGTAACTTACCACCCCTTTTTTAAGATGATTCTATTATTGGACAATGGTATGAAAAAAATTCCGTTAAGGGAATCAGAACTAGATCACTTTTTTTATGGAGTTTCAACTTGTATGGTCTAGACTTTGCTAAAATTTTAACAGTCTTAGCCTAATTCATGTTGTGTCATGTTTCCTTCTTCTTAGTCTAGCAATAAGTTAAGCCATTTGAGTGTATTTAAAACATTTGATGTAAATTTAATAGAGAATGTGTTCAACTTTGATTAGTTTTAATACGATTTTTTGTTTCAAACTGACTCATTATGTTTCATCATTGCCAAAATTATAAGTTAGCACTATGTTTAGAAAATGCATTCATTAGTTTGCTTTCACTCAGGCTTAGATCTAGTAACACACATTGCCTATTATTTGATTTTCTAAAATATACCCGTTTATTCATTTCTTTTGTCAAACATTTTTAGACACATTTGTATGGGGGGGGGGGGATCAAATCTGCTATATTTACATTATTAAATCGGCCTAAAATTTTAAAGATCAATGAATGATGATTGACCTCCCCTCCAGTGATTAATCTATCTATTGACAAACATATCCTTTTTACTATCATCAATCTTTATACAACAAAGATTTAAATAGGTACAAAATAATGTTTGACAATGATCTTTAATATTATTTTATAAGCCTGCTCTTTACATGTTCTACTATTTTTATTGCTGTCTGTGAGAAAGAGAAGAGCTTGTCTGTTAATTCCTTAGCTCTATGATGTCCATATATGATATTTTGAACTGCACCCTCTACAAAAAATGTACCGTTAACAGCCTGGCTTGCTATCCATTTTCTATATATCTAAACTAATGACAGATAATTATTATCCTACAAAATTTCTTTTGCTATTTTTCTTTGTGCATTATTCACTTAACTTATCCTGTCGGAATATTATATTTTCAGTTTACAAAATGTGTTAAAACAGCAACTATTCAAGATTTGTGTATCAATTATATTTTCATATATTGTCAGGTGGTATGGAAAACATCCATGTAGACCCACGTAAACAAGAACTTCTTGAACAACGTTTTTTAGGAGGCCGGGTTAGTGAGAGTATTGTAATTCTATTTGAAGTTTATGCTTATAGTTTTTTTAGGGAATATATGGATTAGAATAGAAGAAAATATTTAATGCCCTATTTAGTGTTAATGCTTGTATACTTTTTCTTGCCGGCTCCCAGGGTACATGGAACCTCTGAAAGTTCTTTTCATTTCTTCCAGTCTTTGGCAATTATATTGAAATTGTTTATTATAACCACTAAACTTGTATGTTTTCTGTGTTGAGTTTTTTATTTTTTTAGTTTCAGCCCCTGGTGATGCCACAACCTCCTCAAGAACAGCAACAGGATAGTAGTAATTTAAGTAGTGGTGGTTCAATAGATAAGGAAGATGGAGAGGTAATTGTTTTTTTTTTTCATCTCAGTTTATAAATAAATATGCCATTAAATTCTGAGGGTTGTAGGTACACTGTATATATATATTCAAAGTATTTGCTTAATAGAGAGTATTCTGTCAACAAATTGTATCCTCTGCAACTAAAACACTCGAAATATGGTTTTGTTTTTCACATCATATCCGACTGTTTATAATTGCAAATAATGCTTATAAACATTTTTGTTTTTTAATTATGCATTTAAATATTGTTTGATATTACTTATTCCTGCTTTTATAATCAATTAGGGTTTGATGCAAACACCTGATAAAGGAAAACTTAATGATAGAAAAAGAAAACGAAAATCAGGAATTGAAAACCCTGCAGGTATTTTAAGTTTTAGCTTAATAAATCAAAGCTTTATAGATTTTTTCATAGTACATTTTTAGATTCATCTAACTTAATTATGCCATTACTCCTATCTTTAGCTACAAAGCGAGCAGAAACCAATGGTAAAAAGATAAATGAATATTTTAAGGTAAGATATCATTTGTCATTGGAATTTGAGTGTACTACTTCGATGTTTTGTTGGTTTTAAACTTAATTTTAATGTATTATATCTGTAGCAAAATCAGTCACCAAGTCGTACAGGACAGCCTCAGAATACAGGAGCTAAATCACCGTCGCCACAAGCATTTGGTGTAAGTATTTATATATATATAAATATACACTAATTAATGTATTTACTTAAACACTTTTATTACACTTGTGTAGTTAAAGAAATGTGATTACAAAGAATCCAACCTATTATCTTAATTTTAGATGATGTGTTTAATATTGATGTCTCTATTTATATTGTTCTAATAAAGTTATGGTCTAAGCTTAATCTGGAAATTGGTTTAATTTTTTTGTATTGTCATTTGACACATTTTTACTGTTTGCACGTAAATTACATACCCCAGTTTATTATATTTTGTTTACTAATGCTTTATATCATGTCAATAAGCCTTTTATAAATAATGCCATTTTTTTCTCCAGTTTCCTTATGTTATAAAACTTTTATTTGACAGAATATTATTCCTCATTCACCAAGCAACTCTTCCAATTCAATAGCAGAAATTATGAACTCATCTATTAGACCTTCACTTTCTCTTAGTATTGGTTCCAATGCCTCCATCAAGAGTGTTCAGGTATGAGAAAATAGCTACTAATAAGATCATTTAAATATCCTGCTGTCTTAAAGATTATTTAGTTTGCTTTTACATAAAATATTTAACACTCATTTTTTTTTTTAAATTAACGTAGTTTTAAGTAAACTAGTTGTTTTATGATGGATGATAACAGGAGGATTTTTTTTAGATGCATATTTTAAAAATGTTAAGCTAATTTAACTAAACATTTGTATTGTATATTTACCACATTTTAAAAAAAAGCAGATGTTTAGAACCCATGATTCGTGGTATAAAAGTTTGAGTTTTTAAAAAACCTTTTTTATCTGGAAAATCTCAAGTTTTTTGTTTTTCTTGAATGCATCCTGGGGAAGTATTTTTTTTGTAAAAAGATATTTTGTTACCTTAATCAATGTAAGATTCCCCCATTCATGCTTGTTAATTATATTATTTCAAATGGTGAATAACTGTATTAGGTTTGAACCTTCACCACTTAAAGCCCTAGCCTACTTTTTGCTCTTATTCCTCAGCAAATTATTCTAAATTCAATTAAGTTTACAAACATATTAAAATTTCTGTGTAAGTTGTTAAATCTTCATCAAACCTTCTCAGCCTGCATCTAATCCACAACCGAAAAAGCCATATTGGTGATCCTGACCAAAAAAGTCAAAGAAATATTGTTCATGTTTAATTTAAAAATCAAAAGTTGGGTTAATATTACTTTTTCAAATAAATATTCTGTGCATTAGTATGGGGAAAGGTCAAATACTTTGCTTGATGGAAACTGAAGAAACTGGGCATTATGCAAGTTGAAATGGAAAAGTATGTCAGGGGCTGTAATTTTTATAAGAATTTTTAAACATTATGAACTATGTAGCAACTATAAGCTTTACTTTTCATATTGTAGTGCAATAAAAATTTTGTTTGTTTTATTACCTTCATTTTGAATGTCTGTTTGTTAATTTTCTACACTATTATGAACTGTCTTTTTTCATTTGATATTAAATAATTTGTAACTAAAACAAACAAAAAATTTGCAGACTGAAATTTCAATGACTCATCTTCAAGCAATGGAAAATCAGTCTATGTCTGATATGGAACAGAAAGATACACGTATTGATGAACTTATTAGGGTAAGTTTACTATTAAAAAAAAATTCCCCTTAAAGATTCTTAAACTATTGATTAGACAAGCATAATGAAATGTGGAAAAAATGAAAGCATTTATATTTTTAAACTACAAATACTTTCACTATTAAAATATTATTTTAAAATGTTAAGATTAACCGGTAAAAATAAATTTAATATTAAAAGGCATGTTGTAGGTGTATAATTTTTGTCAGTAATTAGCATAAATTTTAAAATAATGCACACATGTTAAGAAAATTTTTAACAAATATGCATGAAAATCTCTTTGTATTATTTGTCTGTAACCTTAAGAGTAGATTATGCCTTTATCTACACAAAGCTAAACTCCTTTTTCACTAAAAGCTTCTGCACTCACTTCATTCATGAATATGCTATTTAATACTAAATAATAAACAGTTACTGCTAGTGTTAAGAATAGAATATCTTTCACACTTGGCTTCCAGTATTCAATTATTATTTCAGAGGCATAGAGAAGAGCTAGCATTTACATTATTGGTATTAACCTTTTTTTTTCTCTTAAACTTCTTATTAATATTTTTCTTGTGTTCATTTAATCTTTTGTATTTGGGACCCAGTATTTTAACTAATATTTATTGTGTTGAAAATTAACAGGTTTATATGGTGTTCTTTTTATTCAAATGTTTTTAAGTTAATTGTAATTTGTTTTGTGTAACAGTTTTTTAAACCTAAAAACTTATACCACTTTTCTGCTGTTTTGTTATCTAAATTTATTCAGCTGTATTATTATTAAGCTTCTTTAGAGTGAGTTGCACATGGTATAAATATCTTTGTATTTAATCAAAAATTTTAGAGTTGGAAGGCATAATCTAAATGTAATAGGTGTTGAGTGAATATATTTGCTTTTTTTTTTTTTTATTAAATTCAAAACTTATTTGCTGAAGAGATATACAGTTTAAATACTTAATAGGAACTTTGTTTTGTTAGTCTTCAATCACAATTTTTGTCACAAGTAAAACCAGATGAAAATCATGAATTTAAAATGTCACTTTTTGCTGTGGGTAGTTTACAAAATATTCAACTGTTTTCTTATTTTACTTTAATTAGATTATTAAAATGCTTTCAAATGCAAGCATATCTTTTATATTATTTAATTTTGGATTAATTATAGTGTAGTTAACATGATTATAATGATTAATGTAATTAGAAGACACATGCTTTCTGTTTGTTTTTAAAATAAACAATTTTCATGTGATATTTTGAAGTTATTAAATATATAATAATAACAGTGAAACATATATTATCTTACAGCAAAATGATGAGCTGAAACGTCAGTGTACAGCTCAGAATAAATTATTAGAAAAACACAAAGAGAACTTGCAGAAATGTTTAGAAGTTAACAAGTCACTTCTCATTGAAAAGGTTTGCTTTCTTGTACTGTGTTTGTGAAAACTTTTTTAGATTTTGTAATTAAAACAAACTGCAGATATATTCTCATACATATTTATGTTAAATACAGAGTACTCTTGAAAAGAAAACCACACGACAGAAATGTATGGAAAACAGACTCAGGCTAGGGCAGTTTGTAACCCAGAGACAAGGGGCACAGTTTGTAGAGAACTGGGTGGATGGATGGGCGTTTCAAGATCTAATGAAGTACTTCCTTTTTACTATTATTGCTTATTTGTGATATCAATATTTTTAACTTGTAAATTTTTTACTTAGTTTTCAAAGTAAGGTAATGATTGATTGTTGAATTTTGCAGACAACAAGAGCGAATAACAGCAGATAAAGATGATATTGACAAGCAAAGACGGTTGCTTATGAAACGTAAACCACCTACTGCTGTAGGAAAAAATGCTAAGCATGACAATTTTCTCAAACCTGGAGAAAAATAGTAAGTTTAAAACACATTAACTTCAGACTGCCTCAGAGATACCAGGGTTTTATTTAATTTTTACATTAGAGTCAAATACTTTGAGGTCAAAATCACATGGTCTTTCATTTATTCTGAATGTGAAAGGAAAGTGGATTATTAGATCAATGCAGCATAAGATACTAACACTGTATTAAAATATATTTTTGTTACCACAACTTATCAGGTCCCAATAGTTTCAATCATAAGAATCAGTTGCTACAAAATGTTTTTGCAGTCTAATATTGATATTAAAAACTTTAAAAAATTGGTCTACCTCGCATTGTTTAAAGCTGCCCACTCTCTCTTCCAGCCCCCTGGGTAAAAAATATTCTGCTTTTTAAAACTGTCATTAATTTCTCTGTGTAATTGATAAGCTTTCTTCTTTAGATCTTAAGCTAGTCACACTAATCTTAAAAATATAATTACTATACATAAACTTCCAATGCCCTTTTTTATCGGGTGCCTAAACTGGGATAATATTAATCCAAAAATAGGCAGTTAGACTAATTCTTACTGTTTACTGGCACTTTTTAACGCAGCCAATTAATGCCATATTTTTCCAATGAAAATAGATGAAGATAAAAACATGCGCTGACACTCACCATATTTTTAAAGCCGTAAAAGTTGTGTTACTTTAATGATAAGTTAAATCTGCTTGTAATATTTTTCTCTTTTAGCTTAACCTTGGCAGAGTTTTATGAACAAGACGAAATTTTGAAACTTCGGGCAGCTGCCTTGAAAAAAGAAGATTCTGATTTACAACTGGAAATGGAAAAATTGGAAAGGGAAAGAAATCTACATATACGAGAACTGAAAAGGATTCATAACGAAGACAACTCCAGGTTTGTTTGTTTATTATTTTAAACAAAATTTTGCTGTGGATTTAGTTTCGATTTAATAGCCTTACCATGTTAAAAAATGCCTTTCAGATTTAAGGATCATCCAACATTGAATGATAGATACCTACTCTTATGTTTACTTGGGAAAGGTGGTTTCAGTGAAGTTCATAAGGTTGGTTGCATTTTAACAAGTTGTTGTGCTTAGTATTATTTGTTATATATGAATCTCTTGCCAGTTTAAAAAAAACAATTATTAGGAAAAGTTTTTAACAAGAGTTGATCCATCTCAGGGAAAAGTAATGTCTTTTAAAATTACATTTGGATGTGACTTTCTGGAGAAAGTTAACCAAGCTGATCATTTTGCAAACCACACAATCACCCAATTTGCTATAGACATTTAAACAACCTGCCAGGACTGATAGATGCGTTACTTACAGATTTAATTATCCCATGCTCAACTGCCCTGTTATCATCTGTACGTTTTAGTTGTTTGGTGTCTAACCATTTATTGTGTTTTTGCTGCAATTATCATGTGAAATACTGGAGGTTTACAAGTTAAATACAACCTACCATTAATATGTCGACCTTTATTATTTTAAACCATTTAGGTGAGTTTTCCAATCTTGTAAATATTTTCTTTTATATTCCTCAGGGTTTTGATTTAAAAGAGCAGAGGTATGTTGCCTGTAAAATTCACCAGCTGAATCGTGAATGGAAAGAAGATAAGAAAGCCAACTATATCAAGTAAGTGTAGAGCTGGCAGTGTAGGGACTTAACAGAAAAGTTTTCAGTTTGAAATTTTCTGCTAATCTTTTTTCAGATATTTTTTTTTATTCAGAAATTATTTTTTAATGCAGCTATTCTGTTAAGAAAGGTTGGAAAACTAGACATGAATTATTTATACACAAGCACCACTAATCTTTCAACTGTTATTAGCAATCTGTACAGCTTCATGGGGCCAGTTTCAAATATGAATGGTTTATACCAATATAAATACTGCTGTGTTCTAATTGATCACATTGTCCAAATCTTGAATGCAAACATTACTGGTCACTTGGTGTATTTTGTAGTATAGAAAAAATGTACTACTCATACTTTATTTTTTTATTTTAAAATAATTTCTTCACATTCCAGGCATGCTTTAAGGGAATACAACATTCATAAGACTCTAGATCATCCTCGCATTGTGAAACTTTTTGATGTGTTCGAAATAGATAACAATTCGTATGTATATTTCTTTCTTTGAATTTATTATTTTACGTCATAAAAAATACCTTGGAAATCAAAAAATGTTTAACATATGAATTAAAAATAGCTTGCATTAATCTAAAGAGCTTCAGAGCGTAAAAATACCTTTTTTTGTTCAACAGATTTTGTACAGTTTTAGAATATCAGAAAGGAAATGACCTTGACTTTTACTTGAAACAAAATAAGAGCATTCCAGAAAAGGAAGCGCGGTCGATCATTAGTCAGACGGTCAGCGCCCTTCGGTATCTCAATGAGATTAAACCACCTGTGATACACTATGATCTGAAACCTGGTAAGCACTTTATTTACCGGCAAGCCTGTAATTTTAAGGTACACTTTGAAAACACCTGAGATGGACTGATCTGAAATCTAATGATTTGAGTTATTGAATTTTCATTTATCTTTTAGGAAATATATTGCTAGGAAGTGGATCAGTGAGTGGCGAAATAAAAATTACCGACTTTGGTTTGAGTAAAGTTATGGACGAAAGCAATTTTCATCCAGAAGTTGGGATGGATCTCACTTCACAAGGAGCTGGAACATACTGGTAATATGATTATCTATACTTCACATAAATTGAATTAACACTTAGACATTTTTCTAGAGCTTGACTTAAAAGATCCAAGTAACACTTCCACAATTGGAGAAGTTTTTAGTTTTCTTTATTATTTTTACATAGTCCTGGCAAATATTGCAATAAATTAGGTCTGAAATTTAATGACAACTTTTCCCATTTTTGTCTTCCAGGTATTTGCCACCTGAGTGTTTTGTAGTTGGTAAAACTCCTCCAAAGATTTCTTCCAAAGTTGATGTCTGGTCAGTTGGTGTCATATTCTATCAGTGTTTATATGGTAAAAAGGTATGTCAAGTTCTTTCTTTTTTCTAGTCGTATTTGATCTAGTCAGCAAAAATCGTCATGACAAGCTTTTTTAGAATATTAAAAAATGTTTCTGTGACCTCAGCATTTGAGGGATTGTTTGGTCAGTATTATGCCCAGCTGTCATCAAAGCTGGGTGGATGTCTTACAGACTTGGTCCCTGTATCCGAGCTTCAGACTTACGGGTTAGCAGTTGTACTCTCTACCTTGTGGGCCATCCCATTGTGTGACAATATGATTATACTGCATGTCTTCAGTATGGTTCCCTCACTCAAGTCCATACTGTGTCCCTTAAAATCTACCTAGCTCTGGTGGTATCTGATTCCATTCAGGGAAAGAAGTACAGCTGGACTTGCTGCTGTACCATATCTCCTCATCTACCTCATTGAGAGGCTGCAAATAACACAATTTATGAGAACTATTAATTATATCTTAATTATTTGCTAAGCAGATATTATAAGCAATCAAGTGAAGTCTTATCGATCAAATGTTCACTTTAACTTGTTTTTTTGTTTTCAGCCATTTGGGCACAATCTGTCTCAAGCGGCAATTTTAGAAGAAAATACTATATTAAAAGCCACGGAAGTGGAGTTTGCTTCAAAACCCCCAGTAACTCAGGAGGCCAAGGTAAATATTCTACTAGTGGAGTAGGACAACTACATAGTTTGTCCCATAGATTCAGGACAATTTATTTATCCCTTAAAACTAGGGTGGTAGATCAGATTTCAAACCTCCTTGGTTTCAAATACCTAAATATATAAACTACTTTTGTTTTCCTTTGTTAAATACCTTTTATTTAATGTTTTAGCCTAGAAAATGCTTTTTGCTTACCTTTTTTTAAGTGTTTGTTATTCAATGGCTACCCCACAAAACCTCCATTGTTTAAGATGATGCTCTCCTCTCTCAATGTTTTTTTTCATTGAGTTCTACTGGTTGCATTGTCTGCTACAATTTGCCACGATAATTAAATACATCTTGTTAATAAGTTATGTAAATGTTTGCAGAATTCACTAAATAAAACTCATTAAAAGTAGAATGAAGCCTGGTCAATTTTTGGTAGACATCTTACCATAGTGACAGTTTTAAAAATAATTAGCTACCCCTATCTTTTTACATCTCTTTTTATGGATGGCCTGTAATAACTTTCAGGAGAGGATTGGAAGGATTTTGCCAATTTCTGAAATTTACATACTTTGAATTTTCATTTAAACATTTCTGCTACTATTTTTCCATTACATAATTTGACAAAAAATTATTATCAGGTAGAAAAGTATTTTTTATGTTGCTGTTCTGTAAAGGAAATGCTCATCTATGAGCCCAGTTTCTTTACTGCTAATCTCACATGTAGGTTAGGTATAATTTATCTACTAGTATTTTAAGTCTTTTCAATAGGTGACTAGAAAGACTAGACTAAACTCTTCCTCCTCCTCCCCCTACCCCCTTGTAGCAACCGTTGCTAATTATTCCTAATCACATGTGATCTCACAATAATGCATAGTAGTGTTTGCTACTGTTTTGTTTGGGTAAAAATAAAAGTGACCTCACTGGCAATCTTAGTTAGCATTACTGTTAATTCTCTGACCTTCAGATGTCTTGTTTCGGGGGGGGGGGGGGGGGGGGGGATTATCATATTATCATGCTTTAAATTGAAGACAAAGGCTATAGTAAAAGTATGAATAATGATGTGGTTACTAGAAAACTTACAAATAAGTTAGCCTTTTCTAATTTCATCTATTTTGGTTGATCTTTTTGTCCATCATATAAATTAAAAAGTTGAAATTGCAATGTCTCTTAAATGTTGAAGACTTGCATAATATACAAAACTTGATACCATGTCTATCTTTAAAAGACACCATGCATTTAAGGGGCTAGGAAAGAGACTGACATTGTTCTGGAGAGTGAGTTGTAACCATTTGACACAGGGATATGATCACACATTTATTGGGTCAAATAAATCCTAGCTACTCTTTTTTTTTAATGAAATTTTTATAAACTGTTAAGAAGTAAAAAAAATTACAACTTAATTGTTATTTTAGATTGATAGAAAAAAAAAAATAGAAATTTCTTTTATTTAAGATACTAGTAATTAGTAAAATTATGACAATAGAGTGCTCTATTACCATACATTATTACAATAGAGCTGCAAAAACCTTATTGAGTTCGGTCCGCCAATTATTATACCTGCTTTTTAAAAATAAATTTTTGAAAACTCTTTGTATTGTATCCTCAATTCTGTCTCCTACCAGCTGAAGTTAATAAAATAAGAAACAATTGTTTTTTTAGATACCATCTTTGCCACCTGCTATTCCATGATGTATTTTTGTTACCAGAATTTCATCAGGCGGTGTTTGCAGTATAAAAAAGAAATGAGGCCAGATGTTTTGCAGCTGGCAGCAGATGATTACCTCAAGCCTGCACAATTAAAGTCTAAGTAAGTTTCATTTTACCTCAAATGTTTCCTCGAGTATATGGAAGTTTGCAAATGTTCTTTTAAGAGTTGATTTTTATATTTTAGTTTTAAGATATTCCTGTAGCAGCCATTTTAATTTTATATTTTCTTTGTCCAGAAATATGACAGATGGCAATGTGTATGCTAATCAGAGCTCTCTATCAACCAATGCTCTTGGGGGTGGCTCCAATGTAGTGGTAGTGACCAACAATCAGTCTTCTACAACAGTGAACTCCCATAGCGCCTCTCAAAACCCTTCTTTCAGTTTTGCTGACAAGTTCTCCTAGTCATAGCACAGTGGATTATTATTTAGCCTTGAAAGGAAGTTTTATTCAAATTGTGCAGAGCTGCAGCTGGGTGCTGTCAAACAAAAGTGTGACAACAATTTCTTGTGGGATGCCACTGTCTGTGACAGTATGTGACACTTATAATGTTGGACCATGATGTATTTTGTTTCTCTTTGTGAAAATAAGCTGTGCAGGATTATTTACACCAAGTTCAAAGAATGGTTTATTGAGAGATGGACTCAATATATTTCTGCACTGGGCATTTACTATGTTTTTCATTTAATGTTGAGTCTGAAATATAAAACAAATGTCTTAAATCTTTGAATCCTTTTCATCTTGGAACTGCCTACATTTGATGTGATTTAAAGTGGCTTAACAGATTCCCTGTTTACTATCACAGCAATCATGAATACAAGGAGTAAGGGAAACTAATCTGCTATGGTGATGAAATGGTTCCTTCTTGTTTTCATTGATTTTAGAAACATTTCAGTGAAGCATGGAATTACTTTTAACATTTTAAAAATCTTATTGAACAAGTTTTAATTTGTGGATGAAGATAACATTTATGTAAGCTTCTCATCACCTAGTATTTTCCCTATCAAATCTACAAGCTAACTAATTGCCATATTGGTACTGCTTTAAACTTGTGGTGTTGCTTCACTACATACTAAACTTTACTTTTTCTGAACAATTAAGGAAGCCTTGCAATAGTCATATCAGAGTAAATAAAAAAAATGACCATGATTTTAATGTCTTTCAGAGCATTTCATTGAGTTAGTTGGAGTTGTATGTATGTTCATTCATAATTCTTGTCTAAAGTTAGACATTAAATAATTATAAATATGTGGCAGTAATGATTCTACTTTCACATTTCTCTTGTTTCTTTATTTCAAAAGATTCATTTTATAAAATAATGGACACTAAATAGAATTTTGTTAAGATCAATTTTTATATTTTTTTTGCCATGTTTGATTGCTAATTAAGTGAAATATTTCAATAAAATGTTTAGGCTATTTTAGAACTTATCCATTTCCATTATATTTAGAAGTATTTTTGTACCTTTTTAAGATTGTAGATGTAATATTTATATATGTATTTTTATTTAGACATAACTTCAGTTCAAAATTGTCAAATTCTCAAAAGTTTTAGTAATCTACTTATGCCAATATGTTTAATAGTATTATACAATAAATTATCTCTGTAGAAATTTGAATTGTTGAAATGTTGTTTTATTAGCTAGTGTCATCATTTGCTTATTGTAATACACAAATTTAGGTCAGGAGTAAAAAGAAAAGACTACATTGTGTGCATTATTGACAATGTGAGGGTCCAAAAACTATCATTTTATGTTTATTGTGACATTCTTCATATATAACACTTTGTTTAATTTGAAAACTCCTCAGTTTAAAATTTCAAATGTGCACTGTAGCTGATCTAACACAGGATTTTAAATTCTATTTAGCCTTGATTATTGTTGAAGATTTCACTGTTTTCAACTATTGTAGGCATGTCTAGCTGTGGTATGGCAGATGTAGAGTTTAAGGAATTTTTGTTGATTTAAAAACTGATTATATTGGCTCTCTTTTTACTCAAACAAGTAATACTTCTTGCTAGTGAAAGATAATATAATTGTATACTAGTTAAGACAACAGAGTCGTATTAACATCACAAGCTTCTAATTTGTATTGCCATATTCCAGCTGGACATTTATTATTCCATTTAGAAAATTTTCTTGTATGGGAGCAATTATAAAAAAAAATATTTTAAATTTTTTTTTTCTGTTTAGCTAGAATTAATGTAAAAAATTGCAGGTGATTTTTTTTTTCCCCCCCATTTGAACTGTTAGATACAGCTATGCCAATGTGTCATTGATCAATGAACTGTTATGTTAAGTCAATGTTTTCCCAGCAGTATTTTCTTTTGTTCTTGTTGTTTGAATTTATTGTCAAGTACTCATTACATTTGAAACAGATGTCAGAATCACACCTGCTATCATGCCAAATACAGTGAACACCAGTTAGAACTTGCTTGAGTGTTTATTGTGCTGTTGAGATTTTTTCTTTGTGTGGTAAGGTGTGTAGTGAACCATTTTGTTTGGAGTGAGCTGTGGGCTGGTTCAGCGTATGATAGTTCTGTGGTTAAACGTATGACTGGAGTGTGTAAAGAAAGAGGACTTTGATGAAAATTTGATTTTGAAGTTTTGCTTTTCTGTTCACAGTGATCAAACTAATTGTATGTGATGCGCATGATAAAATTTGTTTTTGCCTTGTGAAATAAAGAAATGTTTCTGAAATAATCATATTGAGTAATAACTTCAAAAGTACATTGCATGAATGTTCATGTTTAAAATTGGATTAGAGTTAGGAATTCAGCCAGTGGACTCTTACATTAAATGAAGAATCTCGTCCTTCATTTTCTCTGCAATATTCCTAGCCGTGCACAAGCTTTCCACTCATTTTGACTTGAGTCACTTTCTTTTTTTCACTGCCATTGTTGCATCTTTTCTTTCATAGCAATCCTAAAATAAGTCTTATCATTTTCCTGCCTGTTCATCTTATAAAATTGTTGTAAAATCAACTTAAAACAGTCTGATACATGTTGAAACTGCATTGATTACAAATTGAATGTTTAACCCTTACATTTTTTATCAAGCTTAATTTGTACAAAATGAAATTTGCTTTGTAAAAAAAAACTGTAGGTTTGTGAATACAACTTAGGTGTGATTCATGGTATTTGTGGATCACAGCTTTTTTTTTTTACATTTTCAATTTTTCAAAGAGATAGCATACATTTATGTATTTTTAAATAACCTTTTATTGCCCCCTTTTTTCTTGGGAAATTTCATATTAGACAGTGGTTTTTTACTGACAGAAGGCAGTTTGAAATGATAAAAAGAAATTTGTTTTTCAGTTTAGCCTGATGCTTTAGGCAGCTTTTGCATATTGTTTTTTTTTTTTGTTTAGAGCTTTGGCATCTATGTGTGTTAGGGTTTATTTTTTTTAATTGGTTTTTTTTTTTTTTTTTTTGTGAAAAGTTTTATTTTGGCATCTTAAAAAATTTTATGTTAGGTTTTTTTTTTTTTGAAAGGTTAATTTTGGCATCTTAATGAAGAGATGGACTTTTAAAGTTTGAACTGCTGATAACTTAAACACACTTCTCTTATATATCAAATATAAACCGCCACCTTTCTTTTATGAATAAATTAACGTTTTATTACAAATCATAAGTTGTAATTAATTTACATTAGCAGGTAGCCAACCAAAACACATTTTTAATTAAGTTCTTCCAGTGATTTATTTACACACAAGTACAAAAGCCTATGTACATGATTCATAAATGTAAAAAAAATAATTTAAGAAATGTGCAGTTGCTTTTTTCTGTATCAGAAGGGTTTTCATTAAGTTCAAGCTTTTATTCTGCTTAAAAGCTACACGTTTGACAGGCTAACATTCACTTTTTTTATTTCAAATCAATTTAAAATCTAGATTGATGCCTTTTGTCTGGTTCTTTTGTCACAATTATAAATATGACCTAAAGCAATTTTCTTGTGATTTCCCATTTTGTCCAGAAATCTACTTTTGATATTGATGCTTACTTTCTCACTTGTATGTTATGAAGCTTGTCTGTACATCCATTCATGACAGCATTTCAACATCTAGTGCATTGTAATATAATTAAACTGTGAATATGTAAATTTTTATATGAAAAAAAAAACTTTGCCAGTGAATCAACTGTTACAAACTGTTAGGTTGTTGAGTGGAGAGCTGACATCACTCAACATTTGGTTTGCTTTTGTAGATTTTTCTAAACTATGGGTTGTTTTTTTTTATTTAAAGAGTACTGATGGGATAGTTATGTTAGGACTGTCTGTGTTAGAGAGTCCTGATAAGATAGATATGTTAGGACTGTCTGTGTTAGAGAGTCCTGATAAGATAGATATGTTAGGACTGTCTGTGTTAGAGAGTCCTGATAAGATAGATATGTTAGGACTGTCTGTGTTAGAGAGTCCTGATGGACTAGTTAGGGCTGACTGTGTACAGGTGATTGTCAGGTGCAGATACAGGAAAGTTTCTGCGTGAGAGGAAGCCCTTTCTGGTGCCTAGCTTAGATTTGACCAAGCTGATCCAAGTGTCACTTGACATTCCATTACACATTCAACTAGAAGATGTGGGATACTTGAATGGCCGTAGACTTTGTATTTGCATCAGTTCATTCTGTATGGAATTTTCCTACTTAATCCTTTCTTCTTCTGTAATGTTTAGTGAAAGTAGATTAACCATGCTGGTTCAAACTTGGCTAGAGATCCATCCAGTTGTTACAGGGAGCGTTAGTGAAATATTTATTTTGTTGAAACACAGAGCGTGTTTGTTAAACTTTGTCAAGTTGTGAAACCGTGTGCAAGCCTGCACTGTGCACATATTGACTTACATTGCATGCAGTAAGTAAACTTTGATGTCAAGCTTACACATATTTCAATACATTATGTTGAAATGGCAAACTGTGAGCAAGTGGAGACATAGCGTGAAAGGGGGTTGTCTATGTGAGAATATTATTATGCATTTCTGTATAGTCAAATAAATGAATTGTCTTGTTAATGAAAAAAAAAAAAGACTTTTTTTTTTTACCTTGCCAAAATAGCTTTTTCTAATAACTATATATATATATATATATATATATATATATATATATATATATATATATAAATTCAATTAACATTAAGTATTATGTTGTTAAAATCGGTTTATTTCTGACGTACCAGTATATCAGTTTTAGAAAATGTAGATTGCATTGTTTTTTGTGTTGTCTGGTGAAAGCCTACAACTGTTTGACACTAAAAAACGTTTGTAACGTTTATTTTACACATAAACAGCCGAGCTGTTATGTTAGGGCTGTGTAGTTAGGGCACATTGGTAGGAGAAAAAATTGGCTTGCTAGTCCTAACTTTTCTTCTCTTTCTGAAGGAAATCTCTGTGGGTATCTCAATACAACCACGTCATGAAAGCTTCATCAAACTAGACTACTCAATATTTCTTTTTCTAAATGAATTTTAGAATTTTGACCTGTTTCAAACTAGACTACTCAATATTTCTTTTTCTAAATGAATATTAGAATTTTGACCTGTTTCAAACTAGACTACTCAATATTTCTTTTGCTAAATGAATTTTAGAATTTTTACCTGTATAAACAATAGCGACGTCCATTTATGATATGCTCTTTTTAAAAATTCACCCCACCCCCTTGCATCAACACGTCACAAAAAGTTAGACATTCCTTTTACCCCCAATGATTTCTTTCTTTCCCCCAGCAACGGGGATATCTTTCTAATATCTACGGTCACGGTTAGTTGTATCGGTCTTTTTTGTTCACAGATTATGACATTCTTATAAAGTGAGAAGATTGAGTTAAATAATTGATTTTGTTAAACTGTAATAAAACTGCCTTACATATTACACAAGTCCGACCACCCGGGAATGTGACTTCATGTATGGACTACCCTAAGTATAGAGTATCACAAATGTGACAAAAGTTTAGAGACATTAATTACTATACACATCTGCAATCAAGACTATATTCCCTGTTACAGAGATGTTTCTTTTTTTGTTAACGGAAATCCACTTTTTATCATTCAAGAAAAAAAAATGTCGACCGAATTTTTTTCAAACAAAATCCGGACAACCAATTAATGAAAAAATGTATTTGAATACCTATTTTATGAAATCAAAATGTGCCAATACCAGAGTTCGTGGAAAGAAAGTCTAGAATTTTGAAAATTGAGTTTAAGATCTCAAAAAGTCTTGTTTAAATTAAAGTCTGGAACTTAATTTTAAAATTCGAGCTGACCCGCGACGTAGCATACGCCGCTATCTAGTTGTTTTATTTTCCACTTATCAACAATTCATAATTTGTGAATTCGACACTACCCCACCCCCTGACTCCCCCACCCTCCCCACTTCGCCCAGTGAAACCAGCCGTTTACAGACGACAATGAAATTATTATGCAGAACTTATTATCTCCGTTTTGTTTCAAATCGTTTAAAAACTAAATTATCTGCCACTAATAGCCGTCACTTATTCAAACCGGCTCTACTATTGTAAACATTCGGGGTGAACCATAGCCGTCCATGGCTCACCTGACAGGTAGGGATGAGGGTGGTGGCTAAGCTGCGTCGTATGGTTCCCGTGAAACAAAAAGTAGTTCTATTTACTGGATTTACTACAATCTTTTCCCACGCGAGCAGTAAACAAAAAAAAAAAAGCGCGTGTCGCTATATTATGTATTGAATACTTTAACTTGAATTCAAGAAGCTACCCACGCTTTTATTTTTAGTTATTTAAATAGTAGTTCATTATTATATATTTAAAGAAAATCATTTACTTTCTCCTTTTTGTGCATTGTTTCTACAAAAGCTCGTTATTAAAACGTGTAATGCTTTTTTTTTCAGTACTTAAAATTTTTAATATAATAAAAAAAGCGTTGCATGACTAAAAACAACTGTGCATCAAATGAACAGGAAAAAATGTGCGTAAAATAGCGCAGTAAACATTACTTTGTATAGGAAATTTTTAATTATTCTTTAAGCATAAAATTAAGTCAAATTTGAAGTGAGATTGCATCAGGGGCGGAACTACAGTGCCGCCAGACCCCGCAATGCGGGGGGGCCAAGGCCGTTTAGGGGCCCAGAGCTGACCATAATCAATTTTTTTTATAGTTAAAAAATAATTTTCTAGTAAAAACAAAACAGATCTAATACAGTAGTGATATTCTACAGTAGCTAACACTTGCTATTTCGTAAAGGAAAAAAATATATAGGCTACATGACTTGTAGTGTGAAAGATAGGCAAACGTTCTAACCACTCCCATGACTTATTTCCCTTTTTTAAATAGTTAAATATGTGTGCTCTTAAGAAATTTTTAATAGATTTGCACTAAACAAATTAAAAAGCAATTACTTCTCTTAATTTTTTTTTAAACACATAATAAAAATGACAGAATAAAAAGGAAATGTATTAAAAACTAATAATATAAATACTAAAAACATAAAAATAATCATAACGCGAGAAACCATTACACATACAAAGCTTTTCTGCTTGATATTCTTTTGACCGACTTTTAAATTAATAAGCAGTGTGTCAGACATTAAAACAGAGAATTTCAAAGCAGGCCAATAGCACACACACAAATTATGTGATTTATCATATTTTAATTTAAAATAAAAACTATGAATTTTTACTATTTTTCGAATTTCGGTCAAGCCCGTATTGAGTATACTACGTACGTATTTCGTATTTTCGTATACAGGATCCTATTATATATATATATGTGTATATATATATATATATATATATATATATATATATATATATATGGGCCCAAAAAATTTTTTTGCGGGGTGGCCCATTTTTTCTAGTTCCGCCACTGGATTGCATTGTCATCGGTTTTTTACCCTCGTGCCAAATTTCAGAGAAATTAGTCGGTTAGAAGAGGTCGAAATTTGGCTCGCCAGTTTCGATCCAGACAGACAGAGGAAGCTGGTCACAATATTAAACTCAGAGGTACAATTTCAAAGCTTGTTTTATTTAATATATCATGTATTCAATTATTTGTGTTAAATATGTGTTAGTTCTGATATAAACTTATTTTTTGCATTTAAAACGATAAAAATGATATAATTTTTATGAAGCTAATTAACAGCAGCTATCCAGAAATAGTTGGGGTGTTTTTTTTTTACAGTTGTTGACCTTGTCCCGTGACTCAGTATTCTTCCTCTCCTTCTGCGGGTTCCACTTCCGTTGAGTCTACCCCAACTTCCTCGTAGTCTTTTTCTAGGGCAGCCAAGTCTTCACGGGCCTCGGAGAATTCGCCTTCCTCCATGCCTTCGCCAACATACCTACAAGACAAGAAAACATTGCTTTCTTTCATTACACCACTGGTTCGGCTGATCTAGCTTTGAGTTTGTTTTTTTTTTTTTTGTTTTTTTTATCAGGCCTCCAATAAATATTTATATTTAGATCTATAAAATTGCATAAAAAAATGGAAGGAAGCGAAAAATGTGTACATTTCGACAGAGGCGTAACGAGGGGGGGGGAGTGCGGACCGCACCGGGTGACACTATTTAGGGGGGTGACACCAAGGCAAAAAATAGCAAAACATATAGAGAAAAATTTGAGGGGGGGGGGGGGGTGCAAATCGTAAGTTTGAGGGGGGTGCAAATCGAAAGTTTGAGGGGGGGGGGGTGCAAATCGAAAATTGACCGTTTGTCCCCGGAAAGGGTCGCTACGCCTCTAGGGGGTGACACCATTAAGTGCCGCACCGGGTGACACCCGACCTCGCTACGCCACTCATTTCGATACATTTATTCGCAAAGATCCCAAGTCCTAGGCAGTTAGATCCGCCTAGATCTATATGCTACATACACCATCGCCAAGACATCAATGTGTATCTCTCAAGTGCCGGATAACAATTAAGTAAAAAGAAAAGAATGTGTAAACATGTGTATGTCATATTATACTATTCATACAGTTGCATAGGTGGCCCAAGACTTACCAGTGGACAAATGCTCTTTTGGCGTACATCAGGTCAAACTTGTGGTCCAGTCGAGCCCAGGCCTCAGCTATGGCCGTGGTGTTGCTCAACATGCAGACGGCACGCTGGACCTTGGCCAGGTCACCTCCAGGTACCACAGTGGGTGGTTGGTAGTTGATGCCAACCTAGAGGTATTAAACACAATTTTTGCCACTAAAGTTTTTAAATGTTCACTGATTTCTTACAACTTGAGATACAATAAATAGTTGATGCTTTTACTTTCTTGTATACGAAGTAGGCCTGTAGAGAAAGTATTGTAATCGTGCAAAAAAAAAAAAAAAAAAAAGAGAGATTTTTGCAAATCTCTACGATTTACACCTCCCTGAGTCGGAAAAATATAGTTTTGCAACCTTGTCCGTATGTCTGTGTGTGTGTGTGTGTGTGTGTGTGTGTGTGTGTGTGTGTGTGTGTGTGTGTGTGTGTGTGTGTGTGTGTGTGTGTGTGTGTGTGTGTGTGTCTGTAAACACGACAACTTGAGTACCGTTACAGCTAGGTTGATGAAATTTCACATATAAGTATTATATTAAATTTGTAGATCTGTATCAACTTTTCAGCGATTTCCGATAACCGGAAGTGGAACTTTTTCTACTTTCAATTTTCAAAAGCCTATTACTTGAGTACTATTTCAGATAGATAAATGAAATTTCACGTGTAAGTAAAAGAGCTAATTTTCTGCCTTCTTTCTAATTTTGAGTAATTTCCGTTGACTGGAAGGTGTAATTTATGCTATTTCCGATTTCTCAAAAAACTCATGTGAATTTATAAAGTACTAATAATATTCCGCACTATTATTTATACACATTTTGTTAGTGTTCACTTGGTGCGCAATTTTTTTTTTTTTTTTACGAGATTGTATTCTATTTTAAAAAGTTTAAGTAATTAAAAATAGATTTAAAATCGTGTCTATATCCCGAGTTGCCATACCCCATAGTGTTATATAAGAATATTCTAGAAAGTATAGGGGAGATCACTCTCGATTTATTTTGTTAAAATGTTAGTTCAGCTAATATTGAAGAACAAACCTTGAAGCCTGTGGGGCACCAGTCAACAAACTGGATGGTGCGCTTCGTCTTGATAGTCGCAATGGCGGCATTGACGTCTTTAGGCACGACGTCCCCTCTAAACAGCAGACAGCAGGCCATGTACTTGCCGTGACGTGGGTCACACTTGACCATCTGGTTGCACGGCTCGAAGCAGGCGTTGGTGATCTCAGCCACAGACAACTGCTCATGGTAGGCCTGCGGTGGTCAACACGGAGAGTAAATACGTTGGTCCTATCTTTGAAAGTACCATCGAAATGTTATTTGTTAAACCGTGGATAAAAGCAGACTTTGAGAGTTAAAAATAGAACTCACTTTTTCCGCCGAGATGACAGGGGCGTAGGTGACTAGAGGGAAGTGGATACGGGGGTAGGGCACAAGATTAGTCTGGAACTCCGTCAAATCCACGTTGAGGGCGCCGTCAAACCTACAAATTGATCAATTCAGCGTCATAGCAACCATGTTTTGATGGATTATGAACCAAATAGTATCAAGAAAACACCATAAAGTGATGTTATTGTTAGCAGTAAGTAAGATAGGACGAAATCACACGCTATGCAAAAAAAAACATTTTAATTTTTCTAGTGGCGTAAGAAGGATTTTGTTGTGAGGGGGGGGGGAATGGTGTACTAAAATTCTAACATAATGTATTTGGCACCATTTTTGTTTGTGTACTTTTATGTAAATGTATTGTAACATTTTGGCACAAATGTGCCCTGTTTTGAAAATGTATTGTCAGAGTTTTTTCCAGGCATCTCTGAGCCCCCCCCCCCCCACCCCCGAACGAAATGAAATTTATATAGAAAATATATACTTTTAACAGTGTCCTTCCCCCCCCCCCCCCCTGATTGTGATATGTTTGAATTGGGCACAATTCACCTACCGGAGCGAGGCTGTGATTGAAGAGACAACCTGGCCAATCAAACGGTTCAGGTTAGTGTAGCTGGGGCGTTCAATGTCCAGATTTCTGCGGCAGATGTCGTAGATGGCCTCGTTGTCCACCATGAAGGCACAGTCCGAGTGTTCCAAGGTCGTGTGGGTGGTCAAGATGGAGTTGTAGGGCTCCACTACTGCAGTGGATACCTGTGTGTTGGAGAATTTTTTCATCAATTCATCTAGCGCTAGAGTTTAAGCAAAGAATTATGGAAAGTGTTTTTAAAAGTAAACGACATTCGTTTCAATAATCTGGAGACTGAAGTTAGGTAAAGTGCTACTACGTTCTCGTAGTACACGATGTGCTAGGATACCAACCTGAGATGCTGAGGTGCTGGGATACCAACCTGAGGTGTTGGGATACCAACCTGGGGTGTTGAGATACCAACCTGAGGTGCTGGGAGGTGCTGGGATACCAACCTGAGGTGCTGGGAGGTGTTGGGATACCAACCTGGGGTGTTGGGATACCAACCTGAGGTGCTGGGAGGTGCTGGGATACCAACCTGGGGTGCTGGGATACCAACCTGGGGTGATGGGATACCAACCTGGGGTGATGGGAGGTGCTGGGATACCAACCTGGGGTGCTGGGAGGTGCTGGGATACCAACCTGAGGTGTTGGGATACCAACCTGGGGTGTTGGGATACCAACCTGAGGTGCTGGGAGGTGCTGGGATACCAACCTGGGGTGCTGGGATACCAACCTGGGGTGATGGGATACCAACCTGGGGTGATGGGAGGTGCTGGGATACCAACCTGAGGTGCTGGGAGGTGTTGGGATACCAACCTGAGGTGCTGGGAGGTGTTGGGATACCAACCTGGGGTGATGGGAGGTGTTGGGATACCAACCTGAGGTGCTGGGAGGTGTTGGGATACCAACCTGAGGTGCTGGGATACCAACCTGAGGTGCTGGGAGGTGCTGGGATACCAACCTGGGGTGTTGGGATACCAACCTGAGGTGCTGGGAGGTGCTGGGATACCAACCTGAGGTGCTGGGATACCAACCTGGGGTGCTGGGAGGTGCTGGGATACCAACCTGGGGTGCTGGGTAGATGGAGAACTCAAGCTTAGACTTCTTGCCGTAGTCCACAGAGAGACGCTCCATGAGAAGGGAGGTAAATCCTGACCCAGTTCCTCCCCCAAAAGAGTGGAAAATCAAGAACCCTTGGAGACCCGTACATTGGTCAGACAGTTTTCTGGTGATGTTGATTTCAACAAATTTAGTGAATTGCCAAGTTCATTTCTTAAATTGAAACAATTTTATAAATACCCATATTATTTTACTGATTTCATACAAAATTTCGTTTGTTACACTGACAAGCGAAATTTAAAATACATTTTTAACTAAGTATTTTGATATAACCCTGATATCTTAAAACATGTTTGTTGTTTATTAAAACTGATGTTGTAACTACTGAATTCTGTCTGGTATTGATTTTCTAATTAATTTAGTTGAAATGCTATTTTGGGGGTGGGGGTGGCATACCGGATTCTATCCAAGACGAGGTCGACGATTTCCTTGCCAATGGTGTAGTGACCGCGAGCATAGTTGTTGGCTGCGTCCTCCTTGCCGGTGATGAGTTGCTCGGGGTGGAACAGGCGTCTATACATGCCTTGTCGCACCTCATCTGGGGGTGGGGGTTAGTCTCTGGGTTAGTCTCTGGGTGAGGGTTAGTGTCTGGGTTAGTGTCTGGGTTAGGGCTGGGATAGGGTTAGTGTCTGGGTGAGGGTTAGTGTCTGGGCTAGGGTTAGTGTCTGGGCTAGGGTTAGTCTCTGGGTTAGGGCTGGGCTAGGGTTAGTGTCTGGGTGAGGGTTAGTGTCTGGGCTAGGGTTAGTCTCTAGGTTAGTGTCTGGGTTAGTCTCTGGGTGAGGGTTAGTCTCTGGGTTAGTGTCTGGGTTAGGGCTGGGATAGGGTTAGTGTCTGGGTGAGGGTTAGTGTCTGGGCTAGGGTTAGTCTCTGGGTTAGGGCTGGGCTAGGGTTAGTGTCTGGGTGAGGGTTAGTGTCTGGGTTAGGGCTGGGATAGGGTTAGTCTCTGGGTTAGTGTCTGGGTTAGGGCTGGGATAGGGTTAGTGTCTGGGTGAGGGTTAGTCTCTGGGTTAGGGCTGGGCTAGGGTTAGTCTCTGGGTTAGTGTCTGGGTTAGGGCTGGGATAGGGTTAGTGTCTGGGTGAGGGTTAGTGTCTGGGCTAGGGTTAGTGTCTGGGTTAGGGCTGGGCTAGGGTTAGTGTCTGGGTGAGGGTTAGTGTCTGGGCTAGGGTTAGTCTCTGGGTTAGTGTCTGGGTTAGTCTCTGGGTGAGGGTTAGTCTCTGGGTGAGGGTTAGTCTCTGGGTTAGTGTCTGGGTTAGGGCTGGGATAGGGTTAGTGTCTGGGTGAGGGTTAGTGTCTGGGCTAGGGTTAGTCTCTGGGTTAGGGCTGGGCTAGGGTTAGTGTCTGGGTGAGGGTTAGTGTCTGGGTTAGTGTCTGGGTTAGGGCTGGGATAGGGTTAGTGTCTGGGTGAGGGTTAGTGTCTGGGCTAGGGCTGGGCTTGGGTTAGTCTCTGGGTTAGGGCTGGGATAGGGTTAGTGTCTGGGCTAGGGTTAGTCTCTGGGTTAGGGCTGGGCTAGGGTTAGTGTCTGGGTGAGGGCTGGGCTAGGGTTAGTGTCTGGGTTAGGGTTAGTCTCTGGGTTAGGGTTAGTCTCTGGGTTAGGGCTGGGATAGGGTTAGTGTCTGGGTTAGGGCTGGGCTAGGGTTAGTGTCTGGGTTAGGGTTAGTCTCTGGGTTAGGGCTGGGATAGGGTTAGTGTCTGGGTGAGGGCTGGGCTAGGGTTAGTGTCTGGGTTAGGGTTAGTGTCTGGGTTAGGGTTAGTCTCTGGGTTAGGGCTGGGATAGGGTTAGTGTCTGGGTTAGGGCTGGGATAGGGTTAGTGTCTGGGTGAGGGTTAGTGTCTGGGCTAGGGTTAGTCTCTGGGTTAGGGCTGGGCTAGGGTTAGTGTCTGGGTGAGGGTTAGTGTCTGGGCTAGGGTTAGTCTCTGGGTTAGTGTCTGGGTTAGTCTCTGGGTGAGGGTTAGTCTCTGGGTGAGGGTTAGTCTCTGGGTTAGTGTCTGGGTTAGGGCTGGGATAGGGTTAGTGTCTGGTTGAGGGTTAGTGTCTGGGCTAGGGTTAGTCTCTGGGTTAGGGCTGGGCTAGGGTTAGTGTCTGGGTGAGGGTTAGTGTCTGGGTTAGTGTCTGGGTTAGGGCTGGGATAGGGTTAGTGTCTGGGTGAGGGTTAGTGTCTGGGCTAGGGCTGGGCTAGGGTTAGTGTCTGGGTTAGGGTTAGTCTGGGTTAGGGTTAGTGTCTGGGTGAGGGTTAGTGTCTGGGCTAGGGCTGGGCTAGGGTTAGTGTCTGGGCTAGGGTTAGTCTCTGGGTTAGGGCTGGGATAGGTTTAGTGTCTGGGTGAGGGCTGGGCTAGGGTTAGTGTCTGGGTTAGGGTTAGTCTCTGGGTTAGGGTTAGTCTCTGGGTTAGGGCTGGGATAGGGTTAGTGTCTGGGTTAGGGCTGGGCTAGGGTTAGTGTCTGGGTTAGGGTTAGTGTCTGGGCTAGGGTTAGTCTCTGGGTTAGGGCTGGGATAGGGTTAGTGTCTGGGTTAGGGCTGGGCTAGGGTTAGTGTCTGGGTTAGGGTTAGTGTCTGGGATAGGGTTAGTCTCTGGGTTAGGGCTGGGCTAGGGTTAGTGTCTGGGTTAGTGTCTGGGTTAGGGCTGGGTTAGGGTTAGTGTCTGGGCTAGGGTTAGTCTCTGGGTTAGGGCTGGGATAGGGTTAGTGTCTGGGCTAGGGCTAGTCCGTAGGTGAGGGTTAGTCTGGGTTAGGGTTAGTCTCTGGGTTAGGGCTGGGATAGGGTTAGTGTCTGGGTGAGGGCTGGGCTAGGGTTAGTGTCTGGGCTAGGGCTAGTCCGTAGGTGAGGGTTAGTCTGGGTTAGGGCTAGTGTCTGGGTTAGGGCTAGTCCGTAGGTGTGGGTTAGTCTGTGTTAGGTTTAGGCTTAGTCCCTGGGCTAGGGTTAGCCTCTGGATTAGCGTGTGGTCGGTTTCTCTGGGTTGTGATATTTGCTGCTGTTGTAACGTTAATTGGGTGTATTTTGTACCTATCATTAGGACGTGTCATCTCATGAGAGTCCTTGGTCCTGTCCCTTTTAATGTACTTTTGTGACATGTGATGGTTGTCATTGGGCTGTGTCATTTGTTATGTGTCCTTTAGTATGTGTCGTTTTTATTGTGTTAGCCTGTTGATGAGCTTTTGTTGTATGTGTTTTATCCGTTTTAAATCACATTTTTGTCTTGTGTAAAAAAATGTAAAAAACCATTTTAAAATTAGTTAGGTGACGACTAGTTACCGCATGGAACTAATTAATTTTCGATGTTTTATGTCTATCAATTTGTCAAAGAGATAACATTAAGATCAAAGCTAAACGAGGTTGAGCCATGAAAATAGATATTGTCACTAGTCGTAGAACTAGACAGTTATCTAAACTACTTCATTTAACTTCATCTGACGTATGAGTCGTCATATCCGTAACATCTTTACTTGTACTAAATCAGTACTAGAGCTACAATCGAGTCTATTAATCTGCGACTTTACAAATAAAAAGCCTACTGAAGTGACTTATGTGTGCAGACGAATTATCGTACCCACAACAGTTGGCTCCAGATCAACAAACACGGCCCTCGGCACATGCTTGCCTCCCCCTGTCTCGCTGAAAAAAGTATTGAAAGAGTCATCTCCCCCTCCCACTGATTTATCAGACGGCATGACTCCGTCGGGGTGGATGCCATGTTCCAGACAGTACAGCTCCCAGCAGGCGTTGCCGATCTGCACACCTGCCTGACCCACGTGGATCGAGATACATTCCCTCTGAAAGTAAACAAAAAATATTTCAGAACCATGACGAGATTTTTACCCCGAAAAAATGCATGCTAAATCATGCTAATTTTTTTGTAACAAGAAAACTCCAAATAATTTGGTCTTTAACAAATTAGGGGGGATAATCCATAAATGGTAACACGAACAGTGTTCCTTTCAGTCATTTTTCTCAGGGGGGGGGGGGGGGGAAGGGGCACTTAAAACTTTAGGGAGGGGGGGGGTGAACTTGGGCGGACCGCACCAAGTTACTCGTGACACAAGCCAAAAGGGGGGGGGGGGGGAGCATCAAAAGGAAATATAACTAACTTTGATGGGAAAGTCTGCTTTTCCGGTTAGTTTAATAGCTTATTATAGTTATACACTTTTTTAATATATGGTGACACCATGAAGGAAGAGGGTGACATCGCCAAGGAAGAGTGTGGCACCGTCAAGGTAGAGGGTCACACAGAGGGGGGGGCGACACCCTTGGTCACAGCATCGTGTGACGCCACTGTGTCTATCAGTACCGTCCCCAGATCGTGTGTCACCTGGGGTGGTAACTGAGGGGTCACTGCGGGTAACTGAGGGGTCACTGCGGGTAACTGAGGGGTCACTGCGGGTAACTGAGGGGTCACTGCGGGTAACTGAGGGGTCACTGCGGGTAACTGATGGGTCACTGTGGGTAACTGAGTGGTCACTGCGGGTAACTGAGTGGTCACTGCGGGTAACTGACTGGTCACTGCGGGTAACTGAGGGGTCACTGTGGGTAACTGAGGGGTCATTGTGGGTAACTGAGGGGTCACTGTGGGTAACTAAGTGGTCACTGTGGGTAACTGAGGGGTCATTGCGGGTAACTGAGGAGTCACTGTGGGTAACTGAGGGGTCATTGCGGGTAACTGAGGGGTCATTGCGGGTAACTGAGGGGTCACTGTGGGTAACTGAGGGGTCACTGTGGGTAACTGAGGGGTCACTGTGGGTAACTGAGGGGTCACTGTGGGTAACTGAGGGGTCATTGCGGGTAACTGAGGGGTCACTGTGGGTAACTGAGGGGTCATTGTGGGTAACTGAGGGGTCGTGCATGTATGATGTCTCGAGATAAGATTATCTGCAGTGTGTGTCTTTGTGAAGATGTACAACAGGTGAGTAAGGCGCTGACGTAACATATTTTAAATTTTAGTGAATTTAACAATGATCCATAAGATTTTATGTTTCATTGGAGCAATTGGTGCTTATAAGAAAAAATAGAATCCAATGTTTCTGAATGCACCACTCAGAAGATACGCATTATGTATTCATCTCTGGACAAGCGCCTTAGCCTTCATTGCTTAAAATGTGTTTATTTTCTTTGTTTCTTACTGATTGGCACAGTAAAAGATGGCGCCAAATAATATGTACAGTAGTATATAGGCCTACACAAACTAGAAATACGCTTTAGAAATAAATGTTTAAACAAAGTATTTGATTTGAGTTATGTATGAGGATAAGGTTGTTGTTGTTTTGTTTTTAATTTCAATTAGAAATTGGTTAAATGAATAAAAATGTATCAAAGTGCTGCGCTGTCTATCGGCGTTCCTCAAGTTTCTCCCTCTCCTCACCAGCATAAGTAGCGAAAAAAATAACTCTTGGGTTTCTTTGTGTTATCGTCAGGTAACCCATTTCCCGTGTCTCTCCCCCCCCCCCCCCCCCTCTTCCCCGGCAACATGCCTTCGTGTAGACTACTCAAACTTGGACGCTAATCTATTACTTAGCTGAGAGATGCTAGCCTGCCTAGTCAAGGAAATTTGCTGTAAATCTAATTGGAGGGAAGGTAGAGGCTCGTCAACCTGACCCGGACTGACAGGCACAGTAATGGGGGGGGGGGGGGGGGGGGATTAGTTACTCAATTTATGCTATATTTAGACATTTTAAATCAAGTCAATTACGGTCGGATCAAGACTGCAGGATCAACAATATAATTTTTAATTAAGCTTTGAATTGTAATCGTTTGGTCTTAGTGACTGAACAGCTAATTCGATTTATTTCTCGAAAGATGAGTTAATTTAAAAACTTTATTTTTCAATCGCTAGTCCGTCTGATTCTTTCGTTCTTCAGATGACTAGGATAGTTAACGGGCAGCCTCAAGTACTGTTGTTTGGTGAAATCTTTAGCTTAAGTTTTAAACTGCAACTGTTTTCACTGCAATACTTACCATGATTGAAGAAGAGAAGAATCTAATATAGACGCTAAGAAAAATCCAACACAAATCCCTCACGCAAGCCGAAGGCGCTTGATGTGAGTTGGCGTGTATGTCAGACTGTTAGCAGGAATCCTGGAATAATTCTGGAAACTTAAAAACTTGAAGAGCTGTGCTCAGAAAGAGAACGTGCACATGTGTGCTGATTGGTTGGTGGCGTCACGTGACATGGGGGTGAGTGCAATATTTACCTGCGCTACATAAGCTGAGGCGAAACTAGGGTTAAGGGTGGAGGAGGGGGGTAGGGATTGGGGGTAGAAATTGGAAATTGGTAGGGATGGGTGGTGGTAAGATGGAAGGTGAGTAAAGTTTTGGAGTGGGTAGAGTTTGGAGGTGGGTAGAATTGTGAGGTGGGTAGAGTTGGGAGGTGGGAAGTATTTGGAGGTGGGTAGAGTTGGGAGGTGGGCAGAGTTGGGAGGTGGGAAGTATTTGGAGATGGGTAGAGCTGGGAGGTGGGTAGTGTTGGGAGGTGGGTAGAGTTGGGAGGTGGGTAGGATTGAGAGATGGGTAGAGTTGGGAGGTGGGCAGAGTTGGGAGGTGGGCAGAGTTGGGAGGTGGGAAGTATTTGGAGGTAGGCAGAGCTGGGAGGTGGGTAGACCTGGGATGTGGGTAGTTTTTGGAGGTGGGCAGAGTTGGGAGGTGGGTAGTGTTGGGAGGTGGGTAGAGCTGGGTAGTGTTGGGAGGTGGGTAGTTTTTGGAGGTGGGCAGAGTTGGGAGGTGGGTAGTGTTGGGAGGTGGGTAGAGTTGTGATGTTGTTTGGGACGGGAGGTTTATGATGTAGATATAAGATTCTCTAAAACGTTAAGCAAAACAAGCAAATGAAAGAATAGTCAAACTTTTTAAAAAGTAGAGGACATCTAGGGCAGCTATGGAGGTTTGTCTAGTGGAGCTATGGAGTATATCTGGTGGAGCTATGGAGGATTTTTTTGTGGTGCTATTTTTAAAAAGTATTTTTAAATTGTTAGATTTTTTTTGGTTTACTAATACTTTTTAATTGCTAAATAAATTGTGAAAATGCTGATAAACATTAAATCAAGCACAGATCATTATTGTATAAATACATATACATACACACACACACACACATATATATATATATATATATATATATATATATATATATATATATATATATATATATATATATATATATATATATACACACACATAAAATTATATTATATGTTTAAGATTATTTATTATTTAAAGTAAAACCTTTCTAATAAAAAGATTTTCATTTTTCAAGAAAATTGATTGAAATAATTTCCTAATTTCTCTTCATATGCCGAGGTCACAGAAACAAGTGAACTCTACTTCACTTGCCCCATAGACCCGTCAGGTTTGAAAGGGAAACTTTAAAACTTTGAAAAATTTCCTAATGCCTAAAAATCACTTTCAATGCAATGAGCACCACTATTATTATGTTAAGTTTTGTAAGCTTTTTAAAGTATTATTTTAAAAAGCTTACTAAACAGAATCATACAGTTCATTAAATTTTAAAACATACAATTTCCTTAACACATGAAAATATTCAAGTTTTAAAATAGCTTTATTTATCATTTCAACATAAATAAAATGCTTTGAGCAAAAAAAAGAAAAAAAACACTTGTTAAATTAAACCTTTGTGCGCAAGAGGCCCATTTGAGGCACTACTTTTTGTTGTGGCACTACTTTCTGTTGTGGTATTTTTCTCAATGAATTATTTATTCTCCAACCAAGTCTTTATGTTGGTGCAATTCTTCCCCCCCCCCCCCCAGCTTGTTAAAAAAAAGGTAGCCTCCGAACACTTACAAAATTGCTTTATACTTTGAACTAAACAAATTTTTTTTAAACCCCTCCCTCGTTAACATATCACAAGAGGGGTTTTTGTTTCATTTTAAAAAGAATTAAATTACAGTAGACAGCACCAAATAAAAAACGTAAGATCTAAATAAGTTTGGAAATAAAAGGAGAGTTGGCTGCCAGGCTATTAAACATATTTCTGTGTTTCATATTCCAATGTTTTATATTTCAATATAAATGTTGATATTTGTAATTATTTGGGGTTTTCTGAAAGACAATGTAAATAAGTTTATCTGTTACAGTGTGACACTTTAGGACCACCACAACTTCTTCCCCAACTCCATTATCAAGGCCAGAAGTGCCTAGCATTTAAGTACACTGTACTCTGCAGACTTAATTACATTCACTTTGACAAAAACCCACAACACCCAAACCTTAAGCACTGTTATAAAAACATACCAAAATTGTGGACAATATTTGTTTCCTTTCTAATTTGAGTGCTGAAATGTACACAAGTACTGACTATCCTTACAACATAACATGCTTAAGACTATAGTGCTATAGTAAAGATTGTATAGAAAACAAATGCAGTATGTCCACATATTGTGAAATCAATTATTTTTATTGTCATAGGCAAGCTCATAGAGCACAGTAGTAAAATGTCTAATGTAGTAAAAGCTAGAATGCTAAAATTCCACATACATTCTTCTGATATGGAATCAAAAATAAAATTATTCGAGGTGGGAGGGAGGCATGTCTACCCCCCCCCTGCTACAAAAATAGAATTTATATACCTGAGATAAATGTCTGAAAGAAACACAATACTGCATTTGTACTCTATTCAGTCATGACCCAGAATATTAACTGGAATATTCTTAACTTTTGGATATTTCAAAATTTGATTTTGAAAACTAAAACTTAAATATTAATCATGAAAAATAGTTGAACTGTATTGTGGACATTTTTCAAAATGCTAAAACAAAACTTGAAAACTCAGGCCCCTTGTTGTCAGCCACAAATTATTACATAACCCATTAAGTAACACATGATCAGAATGAAAAGAACAAAAATATGAAATAAATGGCAGCCTCTGACATATAAATTGTAAGATAAAACCTGAAAATGAAGCCAAAATCCCTAGAAATAAATTCTCATTGGATCAGACAACCCCTGATCAAAAAATGAGAAAAAGGAATAAAACATCAAAACAAAGCACACTCTCAGGAAGTCAGAAATGTTAAATAAAAATAAAATGCTAAAGTAATTTTAAATAAAATACTTTCTCATGTGTTAGGCTACATAAATATTTACATTTTGAATTTTTAATAAACATTGTTTTCAAATGTTTGTTCTTAATCTTTGTATCACCTTCAGTATTAAATAATAAAAAAAAAATATTGTAAAATATACTGAACAACACCTTTCTGTTTTCAACAACAAAATTAGCTGAAATTTTGATTAACTGGAGTTTTACTTGAGAAGAATTATAATTCATTTAATCTAATTTTTTTCTAATTTATTTGAAATTATTTTGAATAATTTTAGATTATTAAAATAAAAATGTATGTTCAATACTTTATTTAAGCATTAATGCATTATAATATCAGATATTTATAGTGCATTTAACAAAAGTAAATGCATCTCTAGAGTATCATGGCACAAAAACATTTTTGATCCACTTTATAACAAATTATAGTTTGTTTTGTTTTTTAATACAAAGCCTTCAAATAAATTAAACAAGAAATTTGTTAAAACTTGTAATACTTTTCAAGGAACAAAATTTGGTAGTATTAAATTATCTTTTTCATGGTGATGATTGGGATCTCCAGGAATTTGGAAACAATCAACAGGAAAAACACTGATAGTCTTGTTGAAAATGTTGAGGCTGATATCAGTGCAGCCTAAAATCTGACTTTTGTGCAGACCCAGCCTATCCACGCGATAGATCATGTTAAAAAAGTGAAGACACAAGTCGGCGACTGCAGGAATGGAACCCATGCACAAAAGAGGAGGTGCATCAGCTAGAAGACAAATAAATTGTTTATTTACAAGATAAATTAAGCTCAATGCATCTTGTCATAACTAATTTTCTATGATTTTAAATTTTTTTTACCTGATATTGTGCCACTGTAAACTTGCTTGTTGTCTATGCTAAAACTGATATCTAGTTCCTGTACAAACAAAAATAATAATTAGGATCAGTCAAACTAAAGTGTAAACAGATGATGAAAACCTCCTCACCCATTCGGTGGAACACAGTAAAAATAAAAGCATGAAGAAAGACTCAGCTTTAGCATGTGATCTCTCACACTTGGAAGACTGATTGCTCTTATTAGATTATACACAAGATTAGACTGGTCCTTTCAGTGCATATATAACAAGTGATGGTGAAAGAGAAATTGCTGAATGAACTGAATGTTTTTTATTCTTCTTATAATCATATAATGGTCTAAGAGAGCTTATACAGCTGCTAGCAAGGTTTCTTTCAGACATGTTTCTCTGGGGAGGTGCACTTGAATCTTTGGGATATTGTTTTAAGTATATAATTTGTATATAAACTATTATGTTCAAGGGGGGGGGGGGAGGGGTTGACCCCCCACCCCCATCCCCTTGGAGAGATGCCTGAAAGAAACTCTGGTTGAATGGCAATAGAAGAAAACAAGCTGCAGTAAAATACCCAGACTGTACTGAAAATATTAAAACTTACATGGGTTTTTGATAAAAAGGTGAAATTAGCACATGTCTTATTGTTGAGATGCAATTTCTCATTCACAAGCTGAACACAGCAAAAGCAATATCGTTCCCAGCAGTCACAGTAGCCCATCTTTATAGGCATGGATAAGCTGAAGTTTGATGTCCTGTTTCTGGTGCTGGTCAGCATTGGGCCACTCAAATTTAATGGCTTTAATTTGTTCAAAAAGCTGGTATCCTTCATTATATTTCCAATATCTTCAAAGGAAACTGTTAAATCCCATTTGAGCTTTGTAAAAACTATCTTTTGAAGTATATTTTCACTTTCTTTCCCACCCATAACTCCTAATTGAGAAATTGTTTTATTTTTTACTGCTTCAATATCCTCACTACTGTTATTGTCAGCTTTTTGGAGCACATTTGTTAAATTTAAGCTTCTAACAGTGATAGTGGCTGTACTTGAAATATCCACTTTTTTTTCTGTAAGTGATGTCTCTGGCTTGATAACCACAAGAGATGCATTTCCTGGTTGTCCAATTTTGTTCACTTCTTTTTTAAACATAGAAGGTGCTTCCAAAACATTAAATTTTGGTTCTACAGGTTTCATGGTCAATTTTTCTAAGATATAAACAGGAGTTGGGCTTTTACCTGAAAAATAGTAAGTGTATTCATGATAGTAAGATTAAGAAACTTGGCCTATTAAGAATTAAATTGAAATAGGATGTAGTCAAAGTACCTTTTATAAACAGTTGCATTAACACTTTTCAGTAATAAATAAAGACTAGCGATGTTTTCATAAGATGCAACAAAGCTCGTTTATTTTAGCAGCCATCTTGTTTAAGTTTTTTTTTGGTTAACTTATAGCAAGAGATTCAGGGGAAGCCACTCTATATTACAAATGGCTGCTGTTTATATAGCAAATCTTGCTTGCAAACACTGCTGTTTAAAGTTAATTTCTGGCCTATATTGATATATTTATTATTTAGACATTGATTTTGGTTTATTATTATTCAATTATCTAAAATATTTGACACAAATATATCACAATATAGATCTACTTCTATTAAAGTAAAGCCTACTTATTAACTACTTAACAATGAGGCGAATTTGTCGCACATTACTAGCCTCGGCCGATTTTACGTACCTAAAATGGTAGATTACCTAACTAAATAGTAAATACATACACTTTTTTCTTGAACAATATGCAGCTTGATTTAATATTAATCTAGATTAGAAATTTTAGAGTCTAGCTAGACACTTGCTAGCAGTGCTGAGCTACAGTAACAACCATACTGTGCAGTGAGTGTAGTGTGTACTGTCACAGTACTGTGTACAGTCAGTAGAAATCTAATCAGTAGACTTAGACTAGTGTACTTGAGTGTAGTGAGTGTAGTAATGTCAGTAATGTAGAATAATGCAGAAATGTAGGTTGTAGTAGTAGATCTAGTGTCAAGTTAAGTAGGCCTACAACTTACTTTGGTAATCTATCGTTTTGGGTACGTAAAATCGTCCGCGACTTGTGTTGTGAAAAGCAGGTGACTCCTTAAATTTTAATAGGCCTAATTATTTCACATTTTGAGGAGGATTTATGTTTTTTAAAATACTAAAATGTTTCCTTGTTTCATTTATGTACCAGTTTTTAAACAATTGAATTAAAACTTTTCACTAATAAATGAAGACTAGCGATGTTTCCACCAGATGCAACCATACTCATTTACTATAGCAGCCATCTTGTTTAAGTTTTATTTTTATAAACTTAAGCGCGAGATTCAGGGAGAAACCTCTCTATTTTACAAATGGCTGCTGTTCATATAGCAAATCTTGCTCGCAGACACTGCTGTTTAAAGTTAATTTCTGGCCTATATCGATATATTATATTTAGCCATTGATTCAGGTAGTTTATTTAAGTTTATTATTCATTTATCTATAATATTTGACACAAACGTATCACAATATAGAATCTACTACTATTAAATTAAAGCCTTGACAATGAGGTAACGTTTTCGTACATTAATAGCCGCGGGCGATTTTACGTACCCAAAACGATAGATTAACCTTACAATGCCTTACATACTTTTACTTTTACTACAAGCTGAGTTTTAAAAATGTGATTGATAAAATTAAAAATAGGGCCTAAATTAAATCGACTTAAATTACAGCACTAAACCAAACTCCTCCAGAAAACAAATATGGTTGCACTCACTTGGAATTAATGATATCCAAGATGTAACCATTATAACCAGACAAGCAAATATTAAAAACATAATGCAACGTCTTTTCCGCATCACAAAACGTCGTATACGACCCATTTTTGTTGTCATTTTTTCGTTCCCTTGATGCACTGTTGTCAAGTATTTAGTAGTTATTTCCCTTGGTTCATAGGTCTGACAGCTAGGCCAGCAGAGGCCTAACCGTCAATGGTCAGTAGTATTAATCTTTTTCATGGTCGAAACAGAATAGCATATAGACCTAGATCTAGATCTAGATCTAGATCTAAATATAGCAGACTATTTTTCTGCCAAATTAACAGCTTGAAATCCCAGTAAATGTATCGCAAGAATTCCTGACTTTATTCATTGTATGTACGAAATACGAATTGAGGCTTATAACTTGGATGCTATACATTGGGGTTAGATCTGATGTTATTTTTTAGCGTAATTTCAATACTGGACAATTGCGATTATTAACTCGTTATTTCTGGATGGATGGATGGATGGATGTGCGCAGCTTTAAGTCGTATCTCCTCCTCAACGAAGCAATATCGAGGACTAGTTCCAAAGCAAATATGTTAAGCAAGTTCCGAGGATGATTGTGGGCCAAAAAAATTCCCGGAATTCCTTCCCGGATTTCCCGGAAAAGCCAAAAAAAAACTCGAAAAAATGCAGTTTTTGGCCCATATCTCGGCAAACAGACCACTTAGCGACTTGAAACATTTACTAATCGATTCCTGCCATAATTTAGAACAATATTGCCGAAGAAAGTTTTCAAAAATATCCTTTCGTTTGGTCACAAAAAATTAATTAAGGAAATTGCGCTTAAATTGTCACTAGACTTTTTATTAACTTGTTTTAACTTTCTCGTATATACTAGATCTAGATCTATATACGTGTGTGTGTGTGTGTGTCTGTGTGTGTGTAAACAGGATAACTTGAGTACCGTTAAAGCTAGGATGATGAAATTTCATATATAAGTATTTTATCAAAATCGTAGATCCGTATCAACTTTTGAGCGATTTCCGATAACCGGAAGTGGTACTTTTTCCACTTTGAATTTTTCAAAAGCCTATAACTTGATTACTATTTCAGATAGATAAATGAAATTTCACATGTAAGTAAAAGATCTAATTCTCTACCTTCTGTCAAATTTTGAGTAATTACTGTTGACCGGAAGAACTAATTTACGCTATTTCCGATTTCTCAAAAAACGCATGTAAATTTATAAAGTACTAATAATATTGCGCATTATTATGAACATCTTTATTTGGCGTTCGCTTGGTGCGCAATTCTTTTTTCTATGAGATTCTATTCTATTTTAAAAAGTTTAAGTATTTAAAATGGATTAAAAATCATAACTATATCCCGAGTTGCCATTCCCTGTTGCTTCATATAAGAATATTCGAGAAAGTTTAGGGGAGATCACTCCCGGTTTATTTTTATTGTACTTGTTACAACAAGGTGAACTTTTATGACATTTAGAATTACATAAGTAGCTTGTTATTTTTACACTTGCAGCGATTTGTTGTGCACTTAGCCGTGCATTTGCAGTGAATGTAACTGGCCGCCGGTTAGTGATTGTGAAGATGTGATGGTTCGTTGTATTTTTTTTTCTCAGTGCCGGCGAACGGCTTCTGGAACTCGCTTCTGGAATACAGTTGTTTTAGAATTTAGAACACCATGCTCCGTTCCTAGCTTGTAGGAAGCGCCCTCGACGCCCGTGACATCTGCAAGGACGCTTCGAGGATCACCGCAATCGCTCTCAAAATCTAGTATACGGATGCGTACATTATCTCCGCTTTTCTTAATTTTATATCATATTTTGTTAGCATCTTATCACCTTGAGTTTGCAATGTTTATGATTTCACGTTTATTATGAAATAATCTGCAAGTATTGTTACCACCGTACTCTTCGTCTTCTGCGTTAGTTATTCCACATCGTTGCCACGCAGGGTCTACAAAAAAATGGGCTGCGCCATTCTTACAAGCTTTTATTTAACTTGCTTCCTCTGTCTGTCTGTCGTCATAGATCGGAACTGCCGAGCGAAATTTCGAGCACTTCTAACTGACTCATTCGTTTCAAACTTCGCACGTGGATCCGTTTGACTTTATTTGATGCCTAATTAATTTAATATTAATTAATTAAAATTTCCTAATAAAGTAGGGGGGGGGGTCCTACTATTTACCGCACTTTTATGCGCGCATTTTCATGTTCATTTGGTTCAGAGGTCAAGCATACAAGTTAGGTAGATTAGAAAACCAATGAGATGTGAGATGATGACGTTCATTTGAGACGGTCAGTTGACCAAGCGCCCTGTTGGACGTAAATAATCTAGTTAATAACAGTGTTACCTCGAGATATTAGTTTAATTCATTGCTAGTATGTCAAATTGCCCGTATCTCAAAGCAATTTTCTCCATTGAAATTAATTGAAATACCATTAATGCGTTCCAGGGCCCGAAATTCCACCCAGTTTTTTTTTTAAACTTGTTTACTTACCCATGACAAATGCAAAGAAATACGTATTTTGTTAAAGTGTATTAACCTTGCAAATCCGCCGATTTGAGCTGACGGAAGATGCTGGTTGAGTTGTGATTGAAGGAGATGGGCGGAGTAGCTTCACGCACTGCGTTCACTTATTTACTGTAGGCCTATAGCTCGCCCAGTCACTTTCGTTACACTCCTAACGCTACACTTTATCCCTAAATTAATTAAACGTAACTTAAACTTCACCGAACATTATTGAACCTTAATGTTGCTATATAATATATTGTCACTTTCGCTTGATTTTCGTCACTGCTTTTCTCTTCACTGCTCTTTATTTTTTCGCTAAGGCAAGTTTTTTTTTTAAACCTCCAATTTAAACTGTTTCGGCAATTATTTAGATCTAAAGTCATATTAAAAAGCTCAGAAGCCAGATGCACAATAAATGGCAACATTTTCGATGTGTTTCTGTTCCTCGCTAATCCAGTTAGAGGTCATCCATAAATGACGTCACGCTTTTTTGGACGATTTTTACCTCCCCCCTCCCCTCCGTCACACGTCGTCACAAAAAGCCAGACCCCCCCCCCCCTAAAATGACGTCACACCTCAACCTACAACCCCCCTCAAAATTGCAGTTGAATTTTTTAAAACATCGATATTTTTCTAAAATCTTGTCTAAACTATTACAATTTATTAAAACAGTTATCTAAAATGCGAAATAACGTCTACAATTCGTTTTCTAACATTGCTTTTTTAGGGTCTAGCCCGTAGTGGCGAAACGAAAGTAGAAAAATTTTAGTATTGTCCGTACTGGCGAAATTATTTTTTGAGATTTAAAATATTAGATATTGATTATAGTTATAAATGCTTTTGATTTCCTCAAAATATATCACAAATACAATATGTAATTTTGTGTATTAAAAAAAAAATAATCGCAGCGTAAATCGGTGTTACAAAATAATCGTACGTGTTAATACTCGATTATTATAAGGGAAAAAAATGTCTAAAATAAGAATCAAAATAAAAAATACTGAAATAAATTAAATATTATATTTTTTCGTTTTTGAATTTACCAAAACTGAAATCATCATTTAAAAACTCAGTTAAGGGCATTTTTACAAGCTTTTATTTAACTTGATTCCTCGTGCTATTTCTCTGAGTCAGAGTTTCTTTCAGGCATCTCTTCTGGGGGGGGGGGGATTTAATGGATTTTATATTAAAAAACATACTTTTTTACCAGTGTCCGCTCCCCCCCCCCCCCAGGTGAAAAAAAGTCTGGAAGAAACACTGGTCTGGGTGGAAACTTTGCTAACAAAAAATAAAATTATAACCGAACCGATGTGTTTTAAAATTGAATGTCACTTAGGTTAAGATCTGATAATGCAATGTGCCACGAACTTTGACATTTAATTAATTGGGCCAAGATGCAGCCAGGATATAATACATGATGAGCCAAGGTATAGCCAAGATATAGCCATTATTGTGCCAAGATGTAGCCAATATTGGGCCAAGATGTAACCAGGGGCGTAGCGAGGGGGGGTGCAGACCGCACCGGGTGACACCATTTAGGGGGGTGACACCAAGGCAAAAAATAGCAAAATATATAGAGAAAAACTCGAGGGGGGTGTGCAAATCGAAAGTTTGAGGGGGGGTGCAAATCGAAAACTTGACGGGGGGTGCAAATCGAAAGTTTGAGGGGGGGGGGTGCAAATCGAAAACTTGATGGGGGGTGCAAATCGAAAGTTTGAGGGGGGGGGTGCAAATCGAAAACTTGAGGTGGGGGTGCAAATCGAAAGTTTGAGGGGGGGGGGTGCAAATCGAAAGTTTGAGGGGGGGGTGCAAATCGAAAACTTGAGGTGGGGGTGCAAATCAAAAGTTGGAGGGGGGGGGTGCAAATCGAAAATTTGAAAGTTTGTCCCTGGGAAGGGTCTCTATGCCTCTGGGGGGGTGACACCATTAAGTGCCGCAACGGGTGACACCCGACCTCGCTACGCCCCTGGATGTAACCATGATATAGCCAATGTTGGGCCAATATGTAGCCGGTATATAGCCAATATTGGGCCAAGATATAGCCAATATTTGGCCAAGATATAGCCAATGTTGGGCCAATATGTAGCCGGGATATAGCCAATATTGTGCCAACATTGCGCCAACATCATGCCGAGTTTCACTACCAATGTTTGGCCAAGGTTAAGCCAATGTTGCACCAAGATGTAGCCAATATTGGTAGCCAATGTTTAGCCAATATTGGGCCAATATATGTGTGCTGACTGGGTTAGAGGTGTTTCGTTCCTTTTTTAAAATTAATTAAATATTTCTATGGCCTATAGTGCACACTTACTTATAATTTAAGGATTATGGGGTCGTCCATAAATGACGTCACACTCGTAGGGGGGGAGGGTGGTCCGCAATTTTGTGACGGTGTGTGATGAGGGGGAGGGGGGTGGGGGTTAGATGGTGTGACGTCACTTTTTTCATTATAAAAAAGCAATATCAGAAAACGAGTTTTAGCCGTTATTTCGTACTTTAGAAAACTGTTTTAATAAATTGTAATAGGAATTGATCAAAATACTCTATGTTGACAGAGTTCTGACGAGAATTTGGAAAAATATCGATGTTTTAAGAAAAATTCAACAGCAATTGTGAAGGGGGTTGTAGGCTCAAGAGTGACGTCATTTTAGGGGAGTC